TATTACATTACATTTAATGTTTATTTAAATCATCAACATATATTACATTACATTTCTACTTCAGATATACTAATAATACATTCTAATAATACTAATATATCCTAAAAATAGCAGATTGTCATTGGCAACGGCAAAAGAGTGGAAACATCATTCGCACTTGTTCGAAGAAAGTCCATTGTTCGTCTCACGTAACTGCCGAACGGAAAGTCCGTTGTTCGCAGCAAGTCCGTTGCTCGAGTCACGTAACGGTCAAACAGAAAGTCCGTTATTCGCAGCGTCCGTTATTCGAGGCGTACGTTATACGAGGCACCACTGTATTTAATTTTATTACTTAAAAAATGGCGTCTAATTTTGAAATTTTTATCGTAATCATCAATCTTTCATCTTTGATTTTTTGTTGAATTATTAAAATTTCCCGTATAATGTTGGAAGTAATCCAATAAACCATTTTTATTCATTCATTTTTATGAATTAAAATAAGTATTAACAACCGGTAAAGTTGCAAAGCTACTGATGACATCATTTATCGATAATAAACAAAGAGCTTGAATTACTGTATTTACAAGCTCTCTGATATGGCAAATTCGGCTGGCTGCTCTAGAGCACCCGTAGAATGCTCTGTTTACTCCTTCCTATTCGAATAGTCAGAGTAGAGCAGCTGTTTGAGTCAATCGCCTACTATGATGTGATTACTGGTTTTCGGCGTGATGACGTCATTTATCTACTCCTGCTGCTGGGCAGAGAATCCAGCCGAATTCGCCAATAGTAGTAATATAGACTATGTGATTTTGTGTAAAATAAAATTATTGTTTTTCATTCTTATAAAATAATTTAGCAATTAATCATTTAAAATTTCGTTTTGATTGTAATAACGTTTCAAAAGAAAAAACAATTACAATACTAAGCGAACGATAACATTATTTCAATTTTTTACAGCCAAAAAACCGTCCGAATATTTCATAAATTTTGAGTATTTTGCGTTTCTATTAATTATAAATTATATTTTAAATACAAATAAAATTTTTTCAACAATTAATTAATATTAATTCTTATTTACTTTGTTAGTTAGGATACTTCTTATCGGGCGTCATAACGTCTTAATTAATCTCTACACCATCAATTATCGATTCTTTATACATTTAATTTTTAAAATAAGTTTGAAAACAGTAACTATATTTTTATTTTTGTTAATTTGATTATATTAATTTTTCTTTATTTTGAATTGCATACTATTATAGATTATTTATATAATTGATGCGATAACTACACGCGACGCTTTCACCAATACGCAAGCAACTTAAAAAAAATTAAAATTAAAATTGTGATTTTATTTGATTACTGTTTACAATTATTAATTTATTTTCTTTTTCTTTTTTAAAACGATGAATTTATTAATTTTACGTCGTCATACTTTGTTTTTAAAAAATTTTATTTGATAACCTCGAACGGGAGTAATATTTCATTCATTTTTCTCTGAATGCTAGATTAATTTATTTGAACGTAGAATTCCAAGAAAAATAAGAATGATACTGAATTTTTAAATTATTTATCAAAACATCTTTACATTTCCTTCTAAGAAATAAATTACAGAAAAAAAATAATCATAATGATTTCGATTTACGCATGCGCATACGCCATTTTGTTTCTTTTCCAGACGACGATGCTTCCAATTTTGGATTCGGTCTAATTCTTTTTAAAATGGCATTTACATAGTTAAATAATTAATTAATATTAAATTATGAAGATGAAGTAAATTGCTTGTGATACTGTAAATAAGTATGGAAGAGGAGTTTGAGAAAATTGATGGTAAAAATTCATGGGGAGCTTTTTATCAGGTATATATCATTCATTTCAGTTATTTTTGATGTAAATGTTTTAATCTGTTTATGAGAGAGAGAACCGTTTATACTTTCTTTCTATCTTTAAATTCGATGTTGAAGGTAAGACGATATTTGTTCGGTGATTAAACATCGAAGGAAGCCATTTCAGGTTGAATTTTTGAGTTATTTCATAGCAGCTTCTGTAAGGATGGTGTATTTTTGCTTATAACCTTGAAAAAAGATCACATGTGAATGTTTACAGGGAAGCAAACTGTTGTTTTGGTTGTTGAGTTGTATAGTAGCCAGTGTTGCCAAATATACTTCAAGTAAATGGAAAACTTAGCAGTGCTTGAAGTTATAGGAAAGTTTATTTGAATTTATATATATAAACTTGAATAATAATAATTTTATTAATTAATATCCTTGTTAATTTACTTGTTTCTAAGAAAAGACTGATGTTATTTTCATTTTATCAAAAAAGTCCAGTTTATTTTACAAGATATTAATTGCTAATTTTTAAAAAATAAAGGCTGCTCTTATACATTACTAAAAAGTTATAAATAATCTTTCAAACATTCATTGGATGTTTTCTTTTGAAATAAATTTTCTTTTTGGATATTGTTTTAATTTCTGTGTCATATATTCTTTGTTACGTAATTATGTTGGCAATGCAAGAATGGCAGTGGTGGCCACCCCAATAAACTATTTGTTATATTTAAATATATAATTTTGAAATGTGTATTCTTTTAAAGAGTTATTATTCATTTAGATTTTGTTAATACGAGGAAGGTTTGATTTCTGTCTGGAGTTTCGGTAATGACAATGGAACTACGAGTTACATGATCCAATTTGTGTTTCTTTCTTTAGGTACTAACTCTTAATGCACTGACTTCTTCTGTAGTTTGGCAGCAAAGCCATGCCTGCAGAATATTCTTCCTCAGAGCCATGTTCTGAATATTCTATTCAGAACATGGCTCTGAGCATGGTGGAAGCGATTCATAAACTTGGTTGGGAAATTCTAGATCACCTAACCTACAGTCCAGATCTGTTGCTGTTATTACTTATTTGATCCTTTGAGGGAAGTTTTGGTTTCTACCAAGACTTCCCTCAAAGGAATTCACTCAGAATGCTGAAGTCAGAAGTTTGTTGTGCATCTTCAGTCTGACACTGGCCAAAAGACTATTCTTAAGGCATAGCATCATTGCAAAATAACGGGAAGTGTCAGCATACGGAAGGGTAGTAGCTAGAGAAACAAACATAAGTCGGGACTATGTAATACCTACACTTGATTTTGAGCCTTGAGGACAACCTTTATTTAGGAAGCAGGCTTTTTTAACAAAGCCCAATTTAAGCTCAGCTATTCTGTCTTTTAAGAAATCATTGAGCAAGTAGAATATGTTTTGTGTTACTTTGATAGCTCTGATAAGTTTTAAAATTGAGAGCTTTTGGTAGCTAGAAATATTGACGGACATCACTCTCTTCTTTCCTTGCTGTAGAGTGTCAGAATTTAACAAGGGCATCCTCTGCAGAACACTGGGATGTAGAGTCATATTGGTCATTGCTCAAATTTTCCATGAGGTGAATGTGCGAATTATTTTGTCACAATAGAGATGATGAGACTCCCTAGGCCTCAGGGAACGTCTCCATGTGCCTGTTATTTGTTCTTGGCTTGCTGCCTTATCGGCCTCCTCGTTAATGGATATGCCTGAGTGACCTGGGGTCCATATGAGTTCTACTGGGGCTGGGAAGGTGCTGATTGCTGATGCTAGGTCTAGGATAATTGCCAATGAGGTGAGGGACACATTGGCTATGGCCAGCAGCACTTCACGGTTATCCATGAAGATGGCTGTGGATTGACCTAATGGGGCACTTAGGTTGATCGCCCTCTGGATACCGATTGTCTCGGCATTAAAAACACTGCTATTTTAACAATGGAGTTATGATATAATTTTTTAATATTTATTATTTTCCTATTTATTGTTGTGTTGTCCAATACTTGCCATAATTTTTTAATTGATGTACTATTGTACGCCTTTTCTAACTCAATAATTAAAAAAATGTAGAGTTTGATTTCTAGCAACTTTTTTCTTGATTATGTATCTAACACAAAATATGATCAAGTATGGATCTTCCACTCCTAAAACTTGCTTGTTCCTCATTTTCTATATCTTTGTATTCCTCTTCTAAATGATATTTTAATAATTTTCCATATATCCTGCTGAATGTACTGTACATGTAACAGTAATACCTCTGTAATTCTTACACTCATCATTTTTGCCTTTTTTGTATATTGGTGATAGATATTCAACTTTCCAGTCTTGTGAGATATCTTCTTCATTTATACTTTGTTCCATTAAGTTTTTGCAAATTCTAAGTAACCTATCAGATCCACACTTAATTAGCTCTGCTGGTATTTCACCAAAGCCACTAGCTTTATTATTTTTTAAAGATTTACTTATACTTTCAAAAAGTTTCATATCTATTTGAATATAGTCATCTAAATATATAAAATTGTTTGTCCTGACTGACTGAATGACTCACTCACTCACTGACTCATCATCACCCAGAGCAAACTGCTTAACCTAAAGAGGTGAAATTTGGTAGACAGTTAGGGTATGTCATGGAAATGCACACTAAGAAGGAATTTTTCGAAATTCCCCCGCGGGGGGAGAGGGAGAGGATTAAGGCTTAACCGGAAAAACAACTTCTACTGTACTATTTTAGATGTGATTTTTTGTTTTTAACTGCATTTTAGTAGGATATGCCATGACAATGCAAACTTAGAAGGGATTTTTCGAAATTCCCCAGCAGGGGGAGAGGGAGAGCATTTAAGTCTTAACTGGACGAATGGCTTCTACTGTACTATTTTAGATGCGATTTTTTTGTTTCTGGTGGTAATAACTCAATTTCCAAATGTACAATATTTACGTATTACGATTTTTTAACCAAATGTTCAAACCGTTTTAAATTCGAATTTGTTACTACATATTTGTTCGATTATAGAACGATTGCAAACGTTCTAGAAAATTGGTCAGATTGAAAACATTCAATTGAATTAGAAGATTCTCAGTAATAAGGGGTATGTTTAATGCAATAATTTTATACATTTAGATTGTTATTGATATAAATTACATAATAACTATGGTTGTTGAAATAATAAATATAAATGGTGTTATGACGCCCCACACCATTGTTCCAATTATAAGCGATGGAGCTTGCCTCTTTAGAGCAATATCCTTTGTTTTGTATGACACTCAAGTGATGACCAGAGAATTACATGCAGAAATAGTGGGTTACGTGATGAGTCACTGGGATGATTTTTCAATAATGTCACATGATAGTGATGGAAATAATTATAGCAGTTCTGTTGAATACTTCGACAATATGTCGCGATTTCATACTTATGGAGGTTTATGCGAGTTAGTAGCAGAGGGACAAATATTTCCATTAACTTTCGAAGTTTACTACAATGTAATTCTCTTTCTAACCTGTTACCGGTGCGTCTGCTACGTCGTAACGAACCAAAACTAACGTTTTCGAACCCTTATACCGGTTCTTCTTCCTTCTTTTTCGAATCTCTGATGGAAAATGCAGCTCATAAAAAACTTTAAATTCGAAATACGTATGTTCGAATACACGTTTCCCGTTTCCGTCGTTGTATGTCATGCGCAGTCGACTCCAAAACGGATATCATAAATTACCATTCATAAACGCTAGCCACGCCGTTGATAACGTTATGAGCTGCATTTTCCATCAGAGATTCGAAAAAGCCTGAAGGAGAACCTGTATAAGGGTTTGAAAACGTTAGTTTTGGTTCGTTTTTGGTTTGTTACGACGTAGTTTGTTGCACCGATAACAGGTTAGAAAGAGAATTCTATTATTCTCCGGTGTGGTGGTAAAGAAGTTTACTACAATGGCGAGCTGTATGAGTGGTGTAGAAGGAAACCCCGTGAAGCAACTGCGTTTTAGTTCTGTGCAAGACCTGTCTCATGGACATTTTGATGTTTATTTGCCTTATGAAGATGAATTGTCAACATCCATTTTTAATTTGGTTAACTCTGATAGAATACCCAGCTTTGAGAAATGTACTAAAAAACGTTGTGCTAGATTTACGAACACAATTAGAAAAAAAAAGCTCTTACAAGCTGCTACTAAATACCAACAAAAAAATCCAGAAGTTAACAGAACAGCAGCAGCTAAATACAAAAAAAATAATCCCAAGGTTCATAGAGTAGCAGCAGCCCATTACCAGCAAAATCATCCAGAGGTTCATAGAGTATCAGCAGCTCATTACCAAAAAAATTATCCAGAGATTCACAGAGCAGTCGTTTGTAGATATGAGCATAAAAATCGAGGAAAACGAATGGAAAGGCGATTGCTTCCATGGAAGATTAAAACTTTTTCCGGGATGAAATATGACCCAAAGATGGCTTATGAAACCGATAAATTATTATCCCTGGGCACTATGAGTCATAAATGCTTACACTGTAACGCCCTCAAGTTTAAAAAAGAAGCACCTGGTATGTGCTGTAGTGCCGGTAAAGTGCAGCTTCCAGCTTTTTTGCCTCTATCTAAGCCGCTCAATAGTTTACTCATGGGCCCGAATCCTGAGCACATTCATTTTATGGACCGCATTAGGAAATATGCTTGCTTCCAAATGACGTCTTTTGGAGTGAAACAAGTTATAGAAGACGGATTTATGCCTACTTTCAAAGTGCAGGGTCAGGTATATCACTTAATTGGTAGTCTGCAACCTTTACCTCAAAAAACCCCTCAATTCTTACAAATTTATTTTGTTGGAGAGGATGAGAGAGAGGCAAATTTAAGATGCAGCATCTTCCCTGATGTGAAAAAGAGTCTGATAAAACAATTACAGGCGATGTTGCACTACTATAACCCATACTTAAAAGATTTAAAAACTGCTCTTGAAAAAGTACCTCACAATTTTAAAAACTTAGAAGTTGTAATTCACGCTGATAGGAAACCAGCCAATGCTCATAGAGGATGTTTTAATGCACTGATGGCAATTGAAGTAGTCTGGTCATAGTTGGACAGCAGTTTGAAAAATGAGATATTGTATTACAAAGTCATGACAACAAATTACAACATATTAGTGAAGTTCACCGTTCATACGATGCATTGCAATACCTGATACTTTTCTGTCGAGGTGAGGATGGTTACTCCATTGACATCTCCCACATTGACCTGAAAACAAAGTTACCTGTTCGAAAAACCGTTTCTGCAATGAGCTTTTATTCTTACCACATCATGATCAGACAAATGGAAATCAATCATTTATTATATTGTCGATCTCTCTTCAGTCAATACTTAGTTGATATGTTTGTAAAAATTGAGACAGAGCGATTAAATTTTATCAGAAACAACCAGGCGCAACTCCGAGTCGATAGTTACATACATCTCAGAGATGCTATAGGAATACAAGATACCGATGTCGCTCAGCTTGGTCAGATGGTAGTGCTTCCGTCACCTTTAACTGGGTCACCACGATATATGCATGAAAAGACTCAAGATGCCATGACATACGTCTGCTATTACGGTCGTCCTGATTTATTCATTACATTTACGTGTAATCCTCGATGGAATGATATTAAAAATGCATTACTATCTGGACAAAAGCCTCATGATTGTCATGATATCATTGCTAGGGTATTTCACTTAAAAGTTAAAGCATTAATGACTGCTAACAAAGAGGAATTTGTTTGGAAACGTGCGTTGTTTTATATATTCTGTCAAATGGCAAAAGCGTGGTTTGCCTCATATACACATTTTGTTGTGGCTACAGTAACGTATTTCTCCAGATAAATTAGATAGTGTTATTTGTGCAGAGATACCAGACCCTGCAAAAGATCCTCTCCTTCATGAAATTATAAAAGGCAATATGATACACGGGCCTTTCGGTAATTTAAATAACAGATCACCCTGTATGAAAGAAGGTAGCTGCACTAAGAAGTTACCTCGACCTCTCCTTCAAGAAACTCAAACAGGAGAAGACGGATACCCAAAGTATCGACGAATAGCCCCAGGAGATGGTGGTTTCACTGTTGAAATCAATAGTGTGACCCTTGATAACTATTGGGTAGTGCCATATAACCCTGTGCTTTCACGTACTTTCGGTGCTCATATTAACATGGAGTACTGTAACTCTGTAAAGTCTATAAAATACATATGTAAATATGTCAATAAAGGGAGTGATCAAGCAACATTTGGTCTTAAAAATGAAAAGGATGAAGTCGAACTCTATGAAAGTGGGCGATACATCAGCAGCTCCGAGGCTGTATGGAGAATTCTGGCTTTACCCATCCATGAGAGGTTCCCTCCAGTTTTTCATCTCGCTGTGCATTTGGAAAATGGCCAGCGAGTTTATTTTAACCTAAATGACGCGAATCACTTAACAAATATTGTTAACAATCCAGTAAAAACTATGCTTACAGCATTTTTTGACTTATGCAAAACTGATAATTTTGCAAAAACACTTCTTTATGTTGAAATTCCCTCTTTCTATGTATGGAAAAATAACAGATTTGAGAGAAGAAAACGTGGTAATGATGTTGATGGCTGGCCGGGAGTAAAAAAAGATCAGACTTTAGGCAGGGTATATACCATCCACCCTAATAATACTGAGTGTTATTATCTTCTCCTTTTACTACATGAAATCCTNGAATATAGTCATCTAAATATATAAAATTGTTTGTCCTGACTGACTGAATGACTCACTCACTCACTGACTCATCATCACCCAGAGCAAACTGCTTAACCTAAAGAGGTGAAATTTGGTAGACAGTTAGGGTATGTCATGGAAATGCACACTAAGAAGGAATTTTTCGAAATTCCCCCGCGGGGGGAGAGGGAGAGGATTAAGGCTTAACCGGAAAAACAACTTCTACTGTACTATTTTAGATGTGATTTTTTGTTTTTAACTGCATTTTAGTAGGATATGCCATGACAATGCAAACTTAGAAGGGATTTTTCGAAATTCCCCAGCAGGGGGAGAGGGAGAGCATTTAAGTCTTAACTGGACGAATGGCTTCTACTGTACTATTTTAGATGCGATTTTTTTTGTTTCTGGTGGTAATAACTCAATTTCCAAATGTACAATATTTACGTATTACGATTTTTTAACCAAATGTTCAAACCGTTTTAAATTCGAATTTGTTACTACATATTTGTTCGATTATAGAACGATTGCAAACATTCTAGAAAATTGGTCAGATTGAAAACATTCAATTGAATTAGAAGATTCTCAGTAATAAGGGGTATGTTTAATGCAATAATTTTATACATTTAGATTGTTATTGATATAAATTACATAATAACTATGGTTGTTGAAATAATAAATATAAATGGTGTTATGACGCCCCACACCATTGTTCCAATTATAAGCGATGGAGCTTGCCTCTTTAGAGCAATATCCTTTGTTTTGTATGACACTCAAGTGATGACCAGAGAATTACATGCAGAAATAGTGGGTTACGTGATGAGTCACTGGGATGATTTTTCAATAATGTCACATGATAGTGATGGAAATAATTATAGCAGTTCTGTTGAATACTTCGACAATATGTCGCGATTTCATACTTATGGAGGTTTATGCGAGTTAGTAGCAGAGGGACAAATATTTCCATTAACTTTCGAAGTTTACTACAATGTAATTCTCTTTCTAACCTGTTACCGGTGCGTCTGCTACGTCGTAACGAACCAAAACTAACGTTTTCGAACCCTTATACCGGTTCTTCTTCCTTCTTTTTCGAATCTCTGATGGAAAATGCAGCTCATAAAAAACTTTAAATTCGAAATACGTATGTTCGAATACACGTTTCCCGTTTCCGTCGTTGTATGTCATGCGCAGTCGACTCCAAAACGGATATCATAAATTACCATTCATAAACGCTAGCCACGCCGTTGATAACGTTATGAGCTGCATTTTCCATCAGAGATTCGAAAAAGCCTGAAGGAGAACCTGTATAAGGGTTTGAAAACGTTAGTTTTGGTTCGTTTTTGGTTTGTTACGACGTAGTTTGTTGCACCGATAACAGGTTAGAAAGAGAATTCTATTATTCTCCGGTGTGGTGGTAAAGAAGTTTACTACAATGGCGAGCTGTATGAGTGGTGTAGAAGGAAACCCCGTGAAGCAACTGCGTTTTAGTTCTGTGCAAGACCTGTCTCATGGACATTTTGATGTTTATTTGCCTTATGAAGATGAATTGTCAACATCCATTTTTAATTTGGTTAACTCTGATAGAATACCCAGCTTTGAGAAATGTACTAAAAAACGTTGTGCTAGATTTACGAACACAATTAGAAAAAAAAAGCTCTTACAAGCTGCTACTAAATACCAACAAAAAAATCCAGAAGTTAACAGAACAGCAGCAGCTAAATACAAAAAAAATAATCCCAAGGTTCATAGAGTAGCAGCAGCCCATTACCAGCAAAATCATCCAGAGGTTCATAGAGTATCAGCAGCTCATTACCAAAAAAATTATCCAGAGATTCACAGAGCAGTCGTTTGTAGATATGAGCATAAAAATCGAGGAAAACGAATGGAAAGGCGATTGCTTCCATGGAAGATTAAAACTTTTTCCGGGATGAAATATGACCCAAAGATAGCTTATGAAACCGATAAATTATTATCCCTGGGCACTATGAGTCATAAATGCTTACACTGTAACGCCCTCAAGTTTAAAAAAGAAGCACCTGGTATGTGCTGTAGTGCCGGTAAAGTGCAGCTTCCAGCTTTTTTGCCTCTATCTAAGCCGCTCAATAGTTTACTCATGGGCCCGAATCCTGAGCACATTCATTTTATGGACCGCATTAGGAAATATGCTTGCTTCCAAATGACGTCTTTTGGAGTGAAACAAGTTATAGAAGACGGATTTATGCCTACTTTCAAAGTGCAGGGTCAGGTATATCACTTAATTGGTAGTCTGCAACCTTTACCTCAAAAAACCCCTCAATTCTTACAAATTTATTTTGTTGGAGAGGATGAGAGAGAGGCAAATTTAAGATGCAGCATCTTCCCTGATGTGAAAAAGAGTCTGATAAAACAATTACAGGCGATGTTGCACTACTATAACCCATACTTAAAAGATTTAAAAACTGCTCTTGAAAAAGTACCTCACAATTTTAAAAACTTAGAAGTTGTAATTCACGCTGATAGGAAACCAGCCAATGCTCATAGAGGATGTTTTAATGCACTGATGGCAATTGAAGTAGTCTGGTCATAGTTGGACAGCAGTTTGAAAAATGAGATATTGTATTACAAAGTCATGACAACAAATTACAACATATTAGTGAAGTTCACCGTTCATACGATGCATTGCAATACCTGATACTTTTCTGTCGAGGTGAGGATGGTTACTCCATTGACATCTCCCACATTGACCTGAAAACAAAGTTACCTGTTCGAAAAACCGTTTCTGCAATGAGCTTTTATTCTTACCACATCATGATCAGACAAATGGAAATCAATCATTTATTATATTGTCGATCTCTCTTCAGTCAATACTTAGTTGATATGTTTGTAAAAATTGAGACAGAGCGATTAAATTTTATCAGAAACAACCAGGCGCAACTCCGAGTCGATAGTTACATACATCTCAGAGATGCTATAGGAATACAAGATACCGATGTCGCTCAGCTTGGTCAGATGGTAGTGCTTCCGTCACCTTTAACTGGGTCACCACGATATATGCATGAAAAGACTCAAGATGCCATGACATACGTCTGCTATTACGGTCGTCCTGATTTATTCATTACATTTACGTGTAATCCTCGATGGAATGATATTAAAAATGCATTACTATCTGGACAAAAGCCTCATGATTGTCATGATATCATTGCTAGGGTATTTCACTTAAAAGTTAAAGCATTAATGACTGCTAACAAAGAGGAATTTGTTTGGAAACGTGCGTTGTTTTATATATTCTGTCAAATGGCAAAAGCGTGGTTTGCCTCATATACACATTTTGTTGTGGCTACAGTAACGTATTTCTCCAGATAAATTAGATAGTGTTATTTGTGCAGAGATACCAGACCCTGCAAAAGATCCTCTCCTTCATGAAATTATAAAAGGCAATATGATACACGGGCCTTTCGGTAATTTAAATAACAGATCACCCTGTATGAAAGAAGGTAGCTGCACTAAGAAGTTACCTCGACCTCTCCTTCAAGAAACTCAAACAGGAGAAGATGGATACCCAAAGTATCGACGAATAGCCCCAGGAGATGGTGGTTTCACTGTTGAAATCAATGGTGTGACCCTTGATAACTATTGGGTAGTGCCATATAACCCTGTGCTTTCACGTACTTTCGGTGCTCATATTAACATGGAGTACTGTAACTCTGTAAAGTCTATAAAATACATATGTAAATATGTCAATAAAGGGAGTGATCAAGCAACATTTGGTCTTAAAAATGAAAAGGATGAAGTCGAACTCTATGAAAGTGGGCGATACATCAGCAGCTCCGAGGCTGTATGGAGAATTCTGGCTTTACCCATCCATGAGAGGTTCCCTCCAGTTTTTCATCTCGCTGTGCATTTGGAAAATGGCCAGCGAGTTTATTTTAACCTAAATGACGCGAATCACTTAACAAATATTGTTAACAATCCAGTAAAAACTATGCTTACAGCATTTTTTGACTTATGCAAAACTGATAATTTTGCAAAAACACTTCTTTATGTTGAAATTCCCTCTTTCTATGTATGGAAAAATAACAGATTTGAGAGAAGAAAACGTGGTAATGATGTTGATGGCTGGCCGGGAGTAAAAAAAGATCAGACTTTAGGCAGGGTATATACCATCCACCCTAATAATACTGAGTGTTATTATCTTCTCCTTTTACTACATGAAATCAGAGGCCCTACATCTTTCAAAGAATTGAAAATGGTTAATGGTACAATTCAACCCACATACCAGTCTGCATGTAAGGTTCTAGACTTGCTAGAAGACAAAAGGCACTGGGATGCAACTATGGTAGAAGCTGCACTTTGTGAATCTCCATTTAGATTATGTGAACTTTTTGCAGTAATGTTGATGTTTTGTCAATTGTCAGATGCTTCAAATCTTTGGGAGAAATATAAAGATACCCTTTCAGAAGATATATGGCATCAAGTCGAGTTAGAATTATAACATAGATATGTTCATCTAATTTTAAATGAAGTATACAATAAATGCTTGGTGTGTCTTGAAGATACAGTGCTGTCTTTAGGAGGCCAATGCTTACAACAGTATGGTTTACCTCAGCCATCAAGATGTAATGAATTGTTACAAAATATAGACTATCTCCGAGAGATGAGCTATGACTGAAATATTTTAGCACAGATTGTAACTACTAATGAAAATTTGTTAAATGATGAACAGTCTCACGTTTATAGCCAAATTTTAGAAAGCATCGAAAAAGGCACTCGTCAAACATTTTTCTTAGACGCTCCTGGCGGCACCGGTAAGACATTTGTCCTGAGTCTTTTATTGGCTAGAGTGCGAAAAGATCGCCAGATAGCATTGGCTGTTGCTTCTTCAGGCATTGCTGCAACGTTGCTGGAAGGAGGTAGAACAGCTCACTCTGCGTTTAAACTGCCCTTGAACCTGATGCAAGTAGAGACACTTATCTGTAATATTTCAAAACAGAGTAACATGGCACAAGTTTTGAAGGACTGTAAACTAATAGTTTGGGATGAATGCACAATAGCCCATAAGAACAGATTCAAAACTCTCAGTAGAACATTAAAAGACATAAGAGAAAACAATAGCTTGATGGGAGGGTCACTGTGCTGTTAGCTGGAGATTTTCGGCAAATGTTACCCGTCATACCTAGGGGTACACGGGCAGATGAAGTAAAAGCATGCTTAAAGACTTCGTATATGTGGCCACATATCTGGAAACTTGCACTCCAATACAATATGAGAATCTATTTAAGTGGTGATACATCTGCTGGGCTTTTTGCTGAAGTGCTACTAAAAATAGGCGATGGAAATTACCCTTCACTGGAAGGTAAAATGACAATCCCTTCAGATTTGGGTACAGTAGTTACCTCCTTATCAGAGCGAACTTCTAAAATATATCCTGATATAAGTAACATCAAAAAGAAGCCCACAGAATGGTTGTGCGAGTGTGCTATCTTAACTCCGAGAAACGATAAAGCAGCCGCAATTAATGATATTCTATTAAAGGCCTTCAAAGCTCAAGATCTTGAATACAGGTCTTTTGATTCAGTGATCCAAATGGACGACGCTGTCCACTATCTGACAGAATTTCTTAATACTCTGAATCCTCCTGGTCTGCCATCACAAACTCATTCTTAAAGTCGGAGCACCTATAATGTTATTAAGAAATCTTAATCCACCAAAATTATGCAATGGTACGAGACCACAAGTAAATGCTTTGCATAAGAACATTGTAGAAGCTACAGTGATCACTGGATGTGCTCGGGGAGAGAGAGTTTTTATCCCAAGAATACCATTAATACAATCAGAATATCCATTCGAATTTAAGAGAACACAGTTCCCTCTTAAGGTGTGTTTTGCCATGACTATTAATAAATCACAAGGACAATCACTGAAAATGGCCAGCATCGACTTGAGTGAAGACTGTTTTTTCTCATGGACAGTTCTATGTCGCATGTTCCAGAGTAAGCTCTGCGAATAGTCTGGACATCTTAGCCCTGAAAGGCTGTACTGCAAACATGGTTTACAAAGAGGTTCTGGGGTAACTGAAACTCTATTTTTCTGTAAGTATTTATAAATTTATTTCTTTATTTATGTTTTTTATATATTTACGTATAACGTCGTTTATGTTTAAAAAAAGAATTAAACTCAGATTTATCATATCTCGGGATCCCATAACATTTGAAACTTGAATTTAGATGCATTAGCAGTCGATAGTTTGAAAAAACAAAAATCAGTAATTTTACCAATTTAGCTACAACTAATGATTGAGAATCTTAGTGAAGTACGGAGAGAAGGCTATTTCTATCAAATTGCAAAATCCTGGCATGCAAAGCCGCTGGTAACAGCTAGTCTTTCATATTATCTTGTACAGTACGTCTTCATTCTCTGTATTATAAATCATATATTCATTTCTGTTTTCTGTTAAAAGGTTATTAAGATAGTCCTCCCATTTATTTAGTGTTATGTACTGAATAGTATTGGTTTTCTTATTATCATTTCTTAAATTTTTCAAAATTCTCCATGCTTCAGTATTTCATCTTCCACATATATAAGTTTGTATGGTATTACAAACTTTCTCCCAATTGTTATTCTTTTCTTGCTGTACTTTTCTCCTAATAACAACTTGAAGTTTCTTATACTCTATTTTATCTTCTATATTTTTTGTATTTAGCCATTTTAAATATAAATTTCTCTTATTTCTCATTAATTCTGCTATTTCTTCATTCCAATAATACAAAATAAATACACTCTCACCAAAAACTGGAACTGTAATATTCACAAATCACACCTAAATTCAAAATTTCCAGCAAATAAACATCAAAAAATACATGTCAAATGTTTTGGGCCACTGAATTTATCGGCCTTCCTCAGGAAATGCAAACTGGAAAAACCGTTCTATAAATAGAACTTAGCTGCCTTTTAAATTTTAAAAGAACAAAAAACGGCTGTGACGTATCGTGTATGATGTATATTATGAGTCAAGATATCGTTTCCATGCTGATGATAAGGGAATGACATCCGTGTTGATGCAGTTTCCACTCATGCTCGCCTTGTAGATCTATACTGCTTCTAAAATTTTTATATTTTGCCTGTCGAAAACCTTGTGTATTAGCTTGGCTTGGTCCCAACAGGGGGAAATCCCCGGATCGCTGGCATACCGTGCTAAAGCCGTATTGATGTTACCTTTTTGCACGTCATATTTGTGGTCTTTTAGTCTTGCTTGTAGCGATCTGTATGTGGATCCTATGTAAGCTAGTAATCTGTCAAATTTCTCATCATATAGGAGGATGTGGTAAATCCCAGGAGCCAGAGCGTCTTCAGTGTCGTCCTTTGCGTTTGAGAGAAGGCGGAAAACGGTGGGTTTCCTTCTACAGGCAAGGAGTACGTTTAAATTATTTGCAATCCTTCTATATATGCGATGTAGTGTCGGTTCGTAGTCTAAGATCATCTGATTTGCTTCTGCTTTGTTAACCCTGTTAGATGACTGCCTTAGATATTTGGATGCCAGATTGTTGATAAACGTGCGGCCATATCCGTGGTTGTTTGCTGCTTGTCTGAGATGTTCAAGTTCCTTGGTGGTATCAGACAACTGTGTAGAATGGGAGTAAGCTCTGGCCACAAGAGTGCGGAATGCAGATGTCTTATATGACCATGGGTCCGCTGAATTGGAAGTTATGAATAGGGGGATGGAAGTATCCTTGTGGTAAATTGCTGTGACAAATTTGCTATCAGCTACTTGAATTCTGATGTCCAAGAAATTAATGCTATTATCGCTCTCTTGATCCAACTTTAGCGTTAATCCGTAGCTGTTATTATTAAACATTTTTAACACATCCCGAATATTAGGACGTTTTCTCCATACAGTTAAAATGTCATCGACATATCAGGTGTACAGAAGGATGTTATGCTTGATGCTTTTTAATGATTGCTTTTCCAGTTGTCGTAGTACCAATAATACATTTTTGTTTTAGATGTTTCTGATTTAACTTCTAATGCTTCTTTAGCTGCTTGATGCATACTGTGCACTGTATGATTGATTGTATTGTTCTTGTACTGTATCAAAGTAGGTTTCCTCTAATTCAGCGTTTCTCAAAGTGGGCAATAACGCCTCTTTGTGGACGATGAGTAAATCTAGGGGCTCTGGAGGCAGGGTATTGAATGGTAACCAAAGGCAAAATTGGGGTCACTGAAAGCCATTCCCTTTCCTCTGTTAAACTGATAAGAGGAAACATTGCGTTTAGTGGTTTCCAGATGTTGAGAACAACGTACGGTAAGGGCACAAAGTGTGAGATTCATAGAAAAGTTTTCCTAAGAATATTTCCAATCCTTTCTCACAGAAGAGAAATGGATTAGGGTTAGGGGCATTGGGTATAACTTTATGGAACAAAGGGGGCGGTGGATTGAAAAAGTTTGGGAATCATGGCTCTAATTTATCATCTAGTTGTTTCTGGTACAATAGTTGAGTATTTTCATTTTGTAAAGAGAGTAGATTATATCTTGGAATTTGTAATTCTGTCCTTTCTGTGTCCTTTCTAACTCATTATTGATACTAGTGTCAACTTTAAAAGTATGGAAAATTTATTTTACTATTAATCACATAATGATCACTTTCACAATCAATCCGTCTAAAACTCTGACATCTTGGACCAATAGTGCAGTATTCTGTTTCACAATGATATAGTCCAATATTGATTTTGAATTCAACATGTCTTGATTTCGAGTGTATTTATGTATATCTTTATTTTGGAAATACCTGTGTGTTATTTTTAATAAGTTCTGCATACATAGTTCAATTAATCTTTCACCATTATCAGTTATTACATTTTCTCCAAAAGGTCCAACTGTTTGGTTCTTATGCTTTTTATCAATTCAGCCATTAAAATCCCCTGCATTATAATTTCTCTATTGTTGCCATAATATTGCAATAATATTGTTGCCAATATTATTTATTATAGTATTTAATTTCTCAAAAATTCATCTTTATCTAATTTATTTTCACTGTCACTTAATTAACCACTCCCTGTCCCTTCTTTTTGGTTTCTGTTAATACAATAATATCCTGTTGTATTCTGTTTAATTCTGAGATAATTAGTCCATTTTTATTATTAACACTTTGCACATTCCATGCTCCTATAATCATTGTCCTTTTCCGTAGCCTTTGTCATCATCCTGAATATCCAGCCGGCTTATTTCTGTTGGGCTTTTTTTAGCATTTAAGTTTTTTCCAAGAATGGGGAGCTGGCCCCATGTCTCAACCTCCAACCTGTAGGTTGGGATTTATAATCAAGGTTTACTCCTCTAGGAGAGTGACTGTCACCATCTGCAAATCCCTCCTAAAGTATTTTCAGATCATTGGAACAAATGGACTTACTTTTAAATTCAAATTCCAGAAAAATGATACACTCACTTTAAGGGTTTTTTGCAGAAAATAAGAAACATTGTAATTACATAAAGCTGTAATTCTTATAGACAAAAATAATACATTATTAAACCTACACAACACTGACTTGGATCTAACTATATACAAAAACTTAAGAAACACCACTTACAGATGATATTTGTAAGGAAATGGCACATTATACATGAGACTTGCACATCACATTGCATTACAAGCTTTTAGCACAAACTATTTGCATTGACATAATCAAATCGCAAATGTAGTATATAAGAACAAAAATTTTTAAGAAATTCTCATGATATTGTTATTTTTAATTTACAGTTTATACGTTATAAATCAAGAGACCCTCATCTTTCTCATAAAGAAGCTAGAAAACCAGCAAATGTTCATCTTAATAGATATAAAGATGTATACCCATGTAGGTAACAATTTAAATTTTTAAATAATTTTTTACTGCAAGGTTGTGTGCATGTGGATTTTGGGGATTTAAATTATTTCATTTGGGAAGAATTTAAAAATTAATAAAACAGTATATCATATATTTCAATATGTAACCGGTTCAGGCATTGTTATTTTATAGGAATTGTCACATCCACAGACTCCAAAAATAAGGTTATTGATTGGCTAGTATTTTTGGAGTCTGTGGATGTGATAATTCCTATAAAATAACAATGCCTGAACCAGTTACATATCGAAATTTTAAAAAAATAAATAAAAAGGAATAGAAGCAGATTGATAAATCTGGTGAATATGCATAATCACAGCAGTTTTGGTGAATATGATAAATTATTCATGTTTTTGTATGTATATTATGTATATACATACAAAATTATGTATATTCATGTTTTTGTATATTAGTCACATTAACCTGTAATTATGAACAATAGCCAACAGCCTCTGGTTAAAGTGATAAATCTCATGGTTCTCCAACTTTGAACCTGTCTCAGTTGTATGTGACACCTCCCATATCTGATTACATGTGTGTACAGTGTTGCCAACTGTAGTGAAAGTTTCTAAGGGAGATACCACATTGGAGATACCACAAAACTCAAGTTCCCTGATGTCAACAGGAAAGGGATGACTTCAGGAACATTCTAGCAATCATTCTGCAGTTAGATGTCGATGGAGAGATGTATGGGATGGCTCCAGAAAGCTGATTGGCTCAAAAGTGTTCAAGGAACCAGTTTTTCCATTTGTCAAGAGATTTCCATTTTACAAGAGGAAATTTTTGATGATATTGTGTCTCTCTGCAACTGTGCCATAAAATTGTCTATCACAGGCATTCAAGGATATAAGAGATGCATCATCAAATAAATAAAACTGTCTTTTAGCATTAAAATTAATGCTGAAAGACAGTTTTATTTATTTGATGAACAATTATTGACACAAAGAGTATATTTTTATTTATTGAAAGAGATGCATCAGCAATGGAAAATGCCTTTTGACAAAGTATTGCTGCAAAAGGTATGGAATATTCTGTAATTTGAAATGTCATGAATGACATTTTGTCCTGTTCCAACAAGTAGGAGGTTGTCGTTCAAAAATGATATCAATAAAAATACTCCATACTTTATAATTTATCACTTTAGCCAAAAAGGTTTGGTTGTTATGTAGAATAACTGGTAAAAATAATTAATTGTATGTATTTTATACATTAATCACAAATGTTGATTGTTTTGTGATTATGCATAGTAACCAATTTATTAGATTAATCTGGGTAATATGATATATGTATAAAATATCAATATTTTTTATTTTTTATATTTTTCAATATTTCTTCAGAAACTTTTCTTATTGTAAAACAGAATTGATTTGTAATTAACAATCAAAGCACATATTACTCTTTTTTGTAGTATATTTACTACAGTTAAATTTGTATGTAACAATCTGTAAGTAGGAAGATCGTATTGAATTTTAAACTTCTTTATAGTTTGTTCTATAATGCCCAATCAATGTGTCGTTCTCATTCTTGATGTTCACTAATCAGTTTTAACAAGTACTTACCACAAGGAATGTCATACAAGAAAAAATCAGTCAGACAACATTACACAAGTTACTTCATTAGTGGTTAGATTGCTAACGTTGAGATAGCTCATAGTGGGCAGTCTACAGGTTTATAAGTTATAACTACTTTGTACTTGTTCTTCCTCCTTAGTCTACTGTAATGTGCTACTCTATAAATTTATATTGTTAAAATTAATAATTTTTTTTTTTTTTTTTTTAATCCAAAAATTCTGATTACATGCCTGTCATATATTAATAAATTGTATAGAAAAATGCTTTTAACAGAGTATGAAAATATTAATTCAATGACACAATACACAATTACATTATTTTAACATAACAACAATAATAATAATAATAATTTATATATATACACAGTAGAACCTCGATTATCCGGAACTCTATTATCCGGCTTGTTCAAAATAAACAAAAATTTTACGAATTTGCCGATTTGCACTTGGCGAATTACGATACTGTTTATGTACGTGATGGAGTGCATAACTTTTTTTGTTTCAACAACGTCTCACCTGGCACAGTGGCCGTAAACTCTTAAATATATTTTGCATTGTAATAAAAATATAACTTGACATATGTATTTATAAATAATTTTATTTTCAAATTACATCATTCCTATGACCAAGGGTGGCGTAAGGCATGGAAGACCTATGCTTCACGGTCTGAAGGGCCTCGCATTTCGAAGGTTTATGCATTACTTAAAAGCCACAAACGCGATGAAAAAATTTTACTCGTCATAAAATGATAAATAGTTTGTCAAATTTTTATTCATAAAAATGCAGTTTCAACTGCTTTTTATTTTATAAAATTTGTCTTCTTGCATTACCAGAGGGCCTTTTAAACAATAGGTTGTCTTAGCATTGGTCAGTAGTAGTCCAAATTCAATACAAACATTTGTTTCTTGAAAATTTGATCACGATTTAAATACGGTATTTATTTTTAATATTACCGATATGTCATAGAAAAGAAAACGTGTTGTATTATCATTAAAAGACAAAGTATTTGTTTCGATTATCCGAATTTTTCCTTATTTGGACTACCTTCATCCTCAATTAGTCCGGATAATCGAGGTTCTACTCTGTGTGTGTGTGTGTGTGTGTGTGTGTGTCACTCTGTCTGCAACATGATTATTGCTACGTATATTTTGATTAAATTAAATACATTAAATCATTGACAAGAGATAATTTGCATAAAAGTATGTTTTAAAATGAATTTTAATCTCTATCATACTTCTTTGTATGGTTTCCTTGACGGTTAAGTCCAATTAGGCACGTAACTGTCCAATAAAGTGTCTTTAATCCTAAGGAGCACAAATATAAAAAGTTCTCAACTCTGGCAATGATCGGATATTGATGATCGTAGATCGGAATTTCGGTGGGTTCGAAGAATCGACTCAATGTTGTTGGTCTGGCTTTCGTTAAGAGACTCCCCCAAGTGGGGGTAAGAACGGTCTTTTATAGCTTTTTGCAGGGAATTTTCATCACATGATCGAATGGTCTATGAGCTAAAGGTTATAGGTGGTCCAGGGACCTAAACAAGTGATGAATTTTGGATGCTAACTATAAACTTTTCTGCAAGTTGAGCTGCAACTTATGCGAGGACAATAGAATGTTGATGATTATAACAGAAAGGTTTACACATTCCTGGCTAAGATCATTTTTTCTTCTAATTTGTTACATAAACATAAAGAAAAAGATAATTAAAATTTTAGTTAATAAAATTCTGGATCTCACAAAAGATTTGTTAGTTTTTCTATAATACAATAAAATGCAAATTATAAAGTCTTAAAACTAATGTTTATTAATCAAAATAGTTGCAACTGACTTTAATATACAGTAAGACCCTGCTTAACACTGCCTCGATTAATGGTGATTCAATATAATGCAATCTGCTCGAAGCCTAAAATACAAGCTCAAAATTTATGCTGATTCAAATTATTGCAGCATTTCATTGATTTTTATGTAATGCAATTATTCTGAAACACGAACCAATCAGCAAAAAGTGGCAATTCATTGTAGTGCTGTACTTCCCTTAAATCTATGTTTGTTTTGTGCAGTTTTGAAAAAAATATAACATCATGGATGCCATAAGAAATATCAACTTTGCTTGGCAAAAATTAACTGATAAATGCATGAATGGAGTGTGGAAGAAGTTATAGCTGAGGATATCCAAGAATTCTCAAATATAAGAGCCTATCGCTGTATTGTTAGGTTGACCAAATTGTCAACCTAATTGATACAGCAGGACTAGGAGATGTAGACAAGCAGGATATCAAGGAGTTACTGCAGGTTTCTGGTGAGAGCCTTACCAACAATGACCTTCAAGAACTGGCAGAACAAGGAATTCGTGTAGAAGTTGAAAATAGTGATTCTGAAAACAAAGAACCCAAAGAATTTCTCTACAGATTTCCTTAGTAAAAGTTTGGTAATGATAACTGAAATTGTTAATCTCAAATTGTAGCAAATGATCCAGATTTTGAAAGGAATGCCAAAGCAAGACGAGGCATTTTGGATGCAATCTCCTGCTACCGACATTTCCTTAAGGAAAGGGAAAAAGTGAAGAATGAAACTAGATGATTTCATTGCAAAAAAAATCAAGAATTTGAAAAGATACAGGACCTTCATCATAAAAGACAAACTTTACATTTCTGTGTGCATATGTTTGTGTGTTATTTAACATATATTATTATGCAAATTAATATAAAAATAATTTAAAGTAAAATCTGTTTATTTTTGGTTGCATGTTCCCCTTTCCCTATTTACTCTGTGTTAAAATGACCTTGTTTAATGCCGTTTCATTTAATGCTTTGTAAAAATAAAGAATATAATGTAAAAATTATAAATGCAGTAAGACCCTGTTTAACGCAGGAGATACGTTTCTAGACTTGTCATCTAGGATAATTAATAAATGTGTGACAATATATTCTTTATTTTTAACTTTACATAAGAATTGTTTACATGATTTTGAATCTATTAAATATTTAACTTATCCATTAACAATCAAACTGATGATCGAAATAACAAAGTTTCATTAGATGTTACAGTTCAATTGACAATTTATGAAATGTGCAAAATGATATAATATGATGATAAAATAACTCATATATGAAATATAAAAATGTAATTACTGTTGAAAAGGAAGTCAAATAAAGACTTTCTCAATGATAAATTTTGTGTAAGTGTAACCATTTAGTTTAGTATCAATTCGTCTTTCATTTGATTTGTCACTGGAAGTATAAAAGTTTATATTAAAATTTGGAAATAATAATATAAAATAAATAGTCTATTTCTTAGGAATAATTTATCTTTAATTTTTCAAAAATATTTATTTGATCTTTGACTAATATTATGAACTACTAATTATTAACTAAATGTTTCTTTCAATAGTATTTAGCAATTTCTTTCATATGAAATGGATAGTTTAATAGAATTTTTCTATCAAAAGAATAAATATTTTATGTTTTTTTAGTTTATTGATCAAGAAATCCAGATATGGGTGTTTGCTTCTGCTGTTTTTAGCTGATGTCAATTGGCTATAGTCTCTGACTTTGAAAAATATTTTCATATTTCTAACATAAACTATCTCTGCAAGATTTCTCATCTATAGCTATAGCAGAATTAGAGATTAAAATAATCATAATAATAAGTAGGATGATTAGATCATCTGAAAAGTAGATGAATTTTTTTTTGTATAAAAATTTTATAATAAAATAATATACAGTATATTAATTTAGAAAATGGCAATACAAACAGACTAAATACCTTTAACTTATTCTTGACTCTTCTAAATATAAGTCTACAGATCAGTTATCTTTTATTATTAGATAGATAAAATCAAATTCAGGAATGTTTCTTGTCTTTCATGCACATTTAACATCAAACTACAAATAAAGAAAAATATTCTGATATTTATGATTATATTATTAAAAATTGTGTGACAATATATTTTTTCAAATATAATGCATTATATTGAATAAATTATAAAATAATTGTATAATAATAATTTGTGTTAAATTTTCAGATGATCATTCTCGCATTTGTCTTCAACGAGCAGATACTGATTACATCAATGCTAGTTTAGTACCAGTTCCTGCAGCCAAACGTGCCTATGTTTTGACACAGGTGTGATTTGCAATTACATTATGATATTCTTGGTAAATAAAAATCATAAAATATATTATAATTTTAAAGGGTCCACTACCAACAACAACTGGCCATTTTTGGGCAATGGTTTGGGAGCAGAAATGCAAAGGAATTATAATGTTGAATCGAATTGTTGAAAAAAATATTGTAAGTTGTATGTTTTAATTTTATTATTATTATTTAAATTGTTTTTAAGTAATACATACTTATTTTTGAATATTCTCATACAATTTATTAACTACAACAAATGAACTCTTCTGTGAGGTCTTGACCAGTGTCCAAAACCTTGACCAAAATCTGTTTTAAAGAAAAAAGTTATCATATAAAATGCTCTTAGTAGATAAAATATTGTGAGTGAGCAGATTGGTAATTTGACTATTTCTTCAACAATCGCAAAAACGGGAAGATAGAATGTGTAATAAAACCAAATGTCACATAAGTGTAGCTGGTAATATTTACAAATGGGGTAAAAACTCTTGACTCTGAATTACAGGCGGATTTGCAACAAATTCAATAAACATCTTTGATTCAATAAACATCCAATCTCCAAATTCTGTCTTGAATGGTCCTGTCAACAAACTAGGGACTAATTGGAAAAGTAGAGAATGGAAATTACAACCAACCAGAACGTCTGATCAGGGATGCAAAACCTTTAAGAGGCCCAAATTCAAGAACGGCAATTCTTCTCAGAGATTTTCCCACCAAGTCAACTGAAAGGGATTTTTCCCAAGTCAAATGGATTCTCACCAAGTGGATGAAAGTGATTCCACTGGACAAGAGAGTGATCCCTCCAAGACTGAAGAGCTCTCCAGCTAAGATGGGAACTTTTATCCTGGATACAAGAAACAACAAACTGTGTTTTTTTGCATTCATCAGTGGACATTTTGTCTAGAACACCGATCCATTGATAAAGAGCAACAAATTTTGAAGAACTTTATCATCACACAAACATCGTATCCTATCTGAACACTGGTATCATGTTGGATTAGTTTTAAGGACCAAGGGAGATCTCCTACTTACACTGTGTATGTGAGATGTCTTTTGTATTTTAATAAATGGTTGTTAAATATAAATGGAGTTTGTGCCTCTGTGTCTAATATCTAACACCACCATCCACATATCCAGTTTTCACCTTGCCACCTCAAATGATACCACCTCCTTAATTAGGGAAGTATCAATTTGCGACGCTAGGAAATATCAGGTTCTTGATAAGACATCACAGGGATCCTCCACACTTCTGAATTGTAAAAATTTGATATTTTGGAAAATGATCTTTTATAGAAATTGTTTGTAATTTGAATTTCTACACTATTGTATAGGTCAAATTTTTTATATTATAATTTATTTTTACTTGTGGCAGATTGTGTATACAATTACTGGTTAACAAACAAACACATTTAAATAAGTGATATATTATTTTAAAAGTACAACATTGCTAGTCATTGGTTCCGATACTCAAACCACTTTAAAGAGGTACTTGGGCCAACAGTGAACTTGAATTAATGTTAATCATTTTAAAATATTGTAAATGTTAAACAATATACAGTAGCTCCTTCTTATAGCACTTATTTGGATATATTGCATTAGTTTTCCAAATATAAAAGTTTTTTAGTCAATAATGAATAAATATATCAGTTGTTCTGAATTTTCTGATGGTTTAGCTGTTTTATATGTTGATTTAGTGAATGTCTCTTCAATCCGAAAAAATCTTTCCGGTAGGCTACCTCACACCCAATTCAGGTTATAAACTCATTTTATTGTTTTTTACAGATGCATTTCGAGCTAGGTTAATTTACTAGCTCTCCTCACTGCTTAAGAGTTTCCTTGAGTTTCATATGATCTAATTTTCACACTTATACAGTACTTTTAGTCCCGTTTACAATATTTTAACCATCTTATAAACTTACTCAAAGGGCTTGTATCATGTATTGTAAAAAAGGCACTGCTTGCTACCTTATAACATACAAATTATAACATATAGTAACTTTTTACAAATATTTAAATATTGAATCTTATTTCAATATGAATGTGTTAACTATTTAATTTTTTGCTGAAAGAAAAAGTTACTAAAGTAGAATTCAGATATGATATTGTTTAATTTTAAGATATGTTTAGAGAATGTCAATATAAAATATATTTTTGTTTTGAAGGGATTTTCTGAAAATATTGGCTATTGTATGGTTTCTGCTATTGAACCACAACTTCATGATGCATGTTTAGAAGTCAGCAAAAATATGATAACTCCATCATTAGAAAAAGCATGCCAAAATTTATTTCAACAACTTAATGATAATTTCANATAATTTCACAATTTGTGTAAAATCCAAGTCAGATGTATGTAAGCTAATAAATGTTCTCGTTAATCTTATCTCGTCTTTTGATTCGTTCACGGTTACAAGAAATCATCACATAGAGTCTCTGAAGTCTCCGTAGATATAACAAACACAGAAATAAATAACACAAAATAAACTGGAGCTATGTGTCGATTCGGCGCGACACGTCCGAACATGTAAGCTGAACAATAATGTGGGGGGTGTGAGTAATTAAGAGTGCGTGGCGCTCAAACAAAAGACGAATCAACGAGATTTGAAAATCGCGTAACTCTGGGTTCGCGTAAGTCGGGGTATGACTGTATATATACATACAGATTTCTTTCCAATTAAAAGTATATAATCAATTTTGGCAGTATACATTGTACAACCTTTTTAAAAAATTATTAAGAATACAACAAGAATACAATAAAATTTTTATGCGACAATGTACAATCCTTATGATGTAACTAATCTATCTTAGCGCTCTCTATTATGGTATACCATTGTTGGTGTATTTGCATACCAGTTGATACATTAATTAAATTATCATTATTATGTTTTATTATTTCTGTGTGTTCCTTGAATTTACGTTTATAAATATCTTTTTCATAGTGTAGGACTTTAATATTATTTCTATCTATTTGGCAGTTGCTATTTTTTATGTGGTTAAACCAAGGGGAATTATTATGTTTTAGTTTTATGGCAGCTTCATGTTCTTTTATACGTAATTCTAATGTCCTTCCTGTTTCCCCTATGTATTCTTTCGGATTCTGACAGTTACAGTTTATCTTATAAACTGTGCCAGTTTTTTTCAATTTATCAATTTAGATGGCATGATACAACTGATGTATCATGCCATCTAATACATTGCACATTTGTCTCCTGCATGCACAATATAATGAAGGGGTCACTCTAATAATTAAAATAAATGTTTGTCCTTTATATTTTTATTGCAATAAGTCTCCCAAAAAAATTTAAAACATGGCTAAACAGTGATACTCTGTATAATGAATGGAATTATGAACAGTTAAACATCTTAGTATGGCAGAAAAACTTGTACATACAACATAAAATTGAAACAAACATTTCCTAATGTGTGTCAAGCTTTCTAAATTTAGGACAGTTTGTGTTCTCAGTTTAAAGTAAATTTTTAGTTCTATGCCATCCACAACATTTTAGATAGGTGACTGGCATGTCTTTGTTGTTAGCAGAAAAAGTATGGTCTACAGGGGTAGGACATGCTTCCACTCTGCATAAATTTCATTCAGTGTTTGCTAAAATCTATCGCCTTTTAAATAATCTTGCAAACCTCTCCTCTACTAATTCTCCCGAGGCTGTTAACATGTGCTTAGGTTTTCCTTGTTTTTTAAATGAAATGATTATTTTGAGAGAATATATTCTTACAAATATTTTAATGGTTTCCCTTCTAATATTTTCTTTTATGGGTTCCTTCTTTTAACTAGAGATTCTGCCTGTTTATATTCTTCATTTGCTTGCGTTAACATTACACTTAAATTGTTTGTCTACAGTAGCGTTTCTCAACCTGGGGGTTGCGAAACAATAATGAAATCATTTTATGAGAAAAAATCATTTATTATAAACTTACAAACATTTTACTTACAATAAGTACACATGTAAAGAAAATAAATTAATATGATGGTTGTATCTGTTTTTCGTTTAAAATTTTCTCCATACGTGGATCTACATTAGAAACACACAAAAGCAAATTGTTTTCGAGTGATAAAAGGTGATTTACATTTATAAAAAAAAAATAATTTAATAAATAAAAAAAATTTTACATTTATAATTACAGTCAAAATTTAATTAGTAATAGTAAGGCTTACTGTTATTATTCCTTTGTGTGGGAGGTTGCAAAATATTAATTTTATTTATATTTACTATTTGGGGGGTTGTGGAGCTAAGAAGGATGAGAATCGCTGGTCTACAGATATCAAAAGACTGCTATAATCACTGAAGATCTATTCTTTCTTGATTTTTTAAAATTTAAATCCAGTTGTAAAAAAACTGTACGACCATTTCCTGCATTAAAATTTTATTTTAAACATATGTGTTTTTTATTAATTGTATTTTTAGTCTTATACTTAACTTTATGGATTTGTTCTTTGCTTGTTATTGGGGATCAGCCATCATTGTTATTGTGACATCGCTGTAACTTTTTGTATATAAATAAATTTTTTGAAATTGCAAAGATATCTTTGACTTAATCCATAAAATTCAAAATGTTACTGAAATTATTGAATTTTAGCATTGATTTATATAATACAGTAATACTTTGCCCTTCATTGGTAATTGATTCCAGAAGACACAACTTAAGTCAAAAAATGACATAAATTGAATAATCTCCTAAATAGCTATTTAGACTTCCTATAAACCCTTAATAAACATTCCCCTTAAATGTATACATGTAAATTAATGATAAATTAAAGAAATAACAAAATAAAAAAATTAAAATACACTCTCCGTTTTTTTAAATCTTTTCACTAAAACAACCTTCTGGTTTTATAGCTCAATTTCAATATAAGGCAAAATAAATATATATACAGTAGAGCATCAATTATCCGACTCAATTGGGGACTTGGGTTGGTCAGATAACTGAAAAAATCGGATAACCGAAAATAATGAAAAAATACATTATTAGTATAGTATATTAGGATATCCCATGTAATTAGTATATTAGTATATCGCTATTAACCTACTTCGCATTGAATTTTCATTGATGTTAAGCATAACAAAATTTTAAAAAAATAATAATCGTCACTATTGTATCGTTAAAAATTATTTTAAAATTATTTTATTGCTCACAAAACAAACAACCACTCATAATTAGAAAATTAAGTCTCGTTTAAATACTGGCCTCCCTTTCATGGTCGAGCCAGTGTTGCCAGCTAAAACACAAAAATTTAACAAAAATAATATTAAAGTAGCCAAGACATACCCAAATATTGTAGTGCCACATCACTAGCGGACATTTGAAATTTGCCGACTAGAACCGTTGGTTAACCGATGTGATGGTTAATCGGGGGTCGGATAATCGATTCTCTACTGTATAACTATTAAAGCACAGTCAATAAGGTGCCTTTACTGATACATTAAATGTTACACAAGAAATTATTTATTGTGACATCATCACAGAGCTAGGGTGCAATTTTTAATCATATTTTAAATTAAATAAATTAAAAAATTTGATTTTAGTAGTGTCCTGCCCCTGTACACCATACTTTTCCTGCTAACAACAGACACATGCCAGTCATCTATCTATATAACTCTGTTCTGGAGAGAATTTTTGAATTGAAAAAACCTGAATTCCAGTCCAAGCTGGAAGTTCATATATAGTTAGTTGGAGCCTCCTGCCCCTAAGCTTTCCATATTTGGTCTCATTTTTCATCTATTTAACTCCATTCCTGAGATTAAGGAAGGACAGACAGACAGAAGTCAGTGGGAATTTATAGGTTTACAATTTGAAAATTGCAGCCCAATAAAGTAATTGCTTGTACTACCTTTTATTTTATTTTATTAATTTCTTACAAAACAAAAAAGAACAGAAATATTTTATTTATTATTTATGTTGAAATCAACTCGCAACATGTGAAATGTTAATAAAGTTAGCTGGTAATTTCTGTTTGTACTACTTGAAAACCAATGCAAAGTTGAATCTGATGTAAGTCGAGGTATTATTGTAATTTGTAATAACTACTGTTATCATTTTTAAATTGAAATAAAAAAGTACTTAAAAATTTAAATAGTATTTAAAGACTATATTTTAAACAATGTGCAGTACAATAAAGTAACTGTTGAGGTAACAAATTGCTTAGTTTTTAAATAATTTAGAAAAGTTTTTTAAGTAATTAGTAGTTAATGTACAGTTATGAATAATATGAATTTTTTTGAAAGGAATTATTAAAGTTTTTACAGTAGAGCGTCGATTTTCCGAATCAATTGGGGACTGGGGTTGTCTGGATAACTGATATTTCGGATAACTGATTTACGTACGAAAAAATAGTTTAACATATCCGATGTAGAAATTTTTATCCGTTGCGTGTCGCTTCGCATTGAATTTTCGTCAATGTTAAGCCTAACAAAGACTATTGTATCGTTAAAAATTTATTTTTTTATTTTGTACAAACAAAATAAATATATTAAAAAATATAAAAATAATAAAAAATTATACTTCAGGTGTTAATTTAGTATCAAAAACGTAAAATATTTGAGTAGCCCAAGACATAGCCAAAGATTGAAGCGCCACAGCACTGGCGAAAATTTAAATTTGCCGACTGGAATTCTTTCAGATGATTGACGTTTCGGATGATTGACTTTCGGAAAATCGACGCTCTACTGTATATATAAATTTTGAATTAAGTGTTGTAATTACTTTTAAAGAAGGAAATAAAATAATATTTGTAAATAATTAAGAAAATAAGTAGGATACAATATTTGATTTAGAAAATATTACATAATGGATAATTGAGATCACCATTATATATAGTATTAAAATGCAATTATTAATTTTATTTATAAAGAATTTAAGAAAATGTTTTTTGTCATAATATGATTCTTATTTTCCAAATTCACTTATTACTCTGAATTGAAGACATTTCATTCTCATAGTATGAATATAATAATAATTTTGAAAATAGTTTACTGTTAACTTTAAACAGTTTTAACACAATGAAATTTTATAATTTTATTATAATCTGAAGATAAATATTATCTTGATTACTGTAAATATTAACTAAAAATAATTTATTTCAAGTAATTTTCAGGTGTTTTAAAAAATTAACTATGTCAATTTATAGGATCTATTAATCAAAGTTTTTTATTTTATATAAGAATTTATTATATTGAATTTAATTGATATTGCTATTGGAATTAAATACTTTTTAAAACTATTTTTAACAGATTAAATGCCATCAATATTGGCCGTCCTTACAACCAAATGATGAAAATGAATTACATCTCAATAATGTAAACTTAAAAGTTTCCAATTTAGGAGAAGAAATTTTTTCTAATTATATAATTCGAGAACTTCTTTTAACTGATCTTGAGGTATTAATAAAAAAATTTTTATTTTAAAGTATTTAAATATTATTATTAAAAATTTATGATTACAGTCGATCCCCCTATAAGACGGTAGATACGTTCCGTTCTTTATGAATCCGATTTTGTAGGAATCGCAGCCAATCACAGCCCGACACGTGTGAAGTTTATGGACTATAGCTGTTTGAAAGGTTTTCTTCCATAAAATTAATCGATTCTAGACTAATCCGACTCAACATTTCCAAAATACGTATATTTTTTTTGGAAATAATCCGTATAAACTATGCTATAAACAAAAAATTGTAGGATTACTTACCGAGTCTGCACTATTCGACATAGCCATTGCTCAAGCTTGTTTTCGTCGCGGAACAGCTCGGCAAACCACGGCCGCGATTTCTGATGTTATTTTTCTGCGAAAACTTCGCTGAACTNCGGCTGCCCGATGACGTTTTACGTAATTATAGGAGTTTTTTTACCATTGTGTACGGATACCACCACAATTTTTTCGCAGTCTTATAGGAATCGTAATTATAGGAACCAGTCTTATAGGGGGATCTACTGTAATTATATTAAAATTTATGTATGAAATATTAAATACATTTGTTTACTTTTTTTGTTTACTATTTCAATTGTTTAATGCAGTGTTTTTCAACTGGGGTGCCGCAGCGCCATGATTGGGGTGTTGCAAAGTTTAGGGCCTTTAGGCATTTTCTTGGAAATTTACTTAAGTGTAGTTCAAGATAACCCATTGTCAGTTCTATTTTGCTACGAGATATCTAGTAAGCAAAGAAACGATGACTAATTGCATGTTAATAGCGAGGTTGAGGCCAAAGTTTTAAACGCAAAAATGTGTATGTCGGATGTTCAGCTCCACTTCCTGTTAGCCTAGAAGTATGACAATGGTATTTGGAATGTCGAGCATGATACCACTGACTATCCAAATACCATTGTCAAATTTCTGGGCTTATAGGAAAGCAGCACTGAACGTCCGACGTACATGTTTTCATGTTTAAAACTTTGGCATCAACCTCACTAATGTAATGTTCTACGCTATGTGTACGCACTACTTGTCATGAGTTCGCCCAAACCACATTACTTGGCCTTCACATTTTCAGTCCCAGTACTAGGCCAACCAGCAGAGAAGAACGACATGGACACTTGTGTCTTGTATATACTTTAAAAAGCATTGCATTGTACTTTGAAAAGCGTGTGGTTTCAATCACAAAGTAGGTGCATATTACATACAGTAAATATTTTCATAGTATTCAAAAGCAGTGATGACAAATAAACAAATTTTTATCATTTTTTTAATTAAATTTTTAAAATTGATATGAAAAAGATAAGAAAACAGTAATGAAATATTTATTTTATATATCCATCATAATAGTATAAAAAACTTAAAAATTGTTTGTCAATAAAATGTTAATATAAAATGATGATATATTTGATAATAAAACTAGTTTTAAAAAACAATAGCGAGATTATTATTTTACATCTAGGTATTTCGACAAAATTCAATGGACTTAAATTTTGATTTTTGAACATGTAGAAACGTTTTTTTTTTTGCATTAAAATGCTACTTCAAACTGTCAATTTTAAAAATTTTTCTTTCCAGGGAGGGGACACCCTTCTTGGACCCCACCCCAGCATTCTGCGTAATATTTGTTTTTGCAAAAAATTCTTCTGGCCCATTAGTCCCCCCCCTATTCAGATTCTAGATCTGCCGCTGGTAAAGGGTGTCACGATTTTTTATTTTTCAATCGGGTGCCACTCAATAAAAAAAGGTTGAAAAACACTGGTTTAATGAGTTACTATTTCATGAATTAGTTAGTAAAGTGGGTAAAAAACTTCTTAAAGGTGTAATCATTTTGAAAGAGATGTGTAGGATTTTCCATAAAAAAAAAAGAGGAATGAAGTCATAAAGGAACATAGCTTTCAACCTTTTAAAACTACAAATGCTACAGAAAAGTTCCTTAGAGTATCTGTAAAATTTAATGTGAAGATTAAAGTTCATATAGAAAACAGCTTATTAAATCCAACTCTAATGATATAATCATCTCCCTGTTACAGTAATAAATAATTTCATTAATTATTTGGTTTAAGTATTTCATAAATAATTCAACCCAAGTTGGTATTGTCTATATTGACATTGAATACATATGCTAAGTAATAAATTTATTTGTTACTGCAGTAAGTTGATTAATGTAAGGATTTGATCTAATTAAGTTTGCTTTATTGAGATTTGATCTATATTTATACTTTTTGAAAGGAAGCTTCTTTGCCAGTACAAGTAAAACTCTCAACCTATCCCGTGTTGAAATTTTTGTCTGATACATTGCTTTATGTTGAACTTTTTTCAATTTTAAGCCTAACGAAAATTACACATTTTAGAAAAAAAATATTTGTGGATATTATATCATTCAAAAACATTTTTTGTTTGGCCTAAACAAAATAGACATATTAAAAAATGTAAAAACAAATAAAACCATATTTCGGAAGTTAGTTTTAATATGATAATTATGAAAAGTAGCAACTTCTAGTGTTAAAAATTGTTCCAATGCAGGAACGAGATATCTTGGGTCCAACAGTCTGGTTCTTTATTTTTTAGCCTGAGATATGGCTGGGAATAACACAGAATAGGTTAAAGACAGAAGCATATGATAGAAGAGACATAATCACAACTTTGGAGAACAAATTTTTTGTCACATTTAGGACTGTTGTCCATTTGACCTTCTTATTTGTATAAAAGATTTGACAATTCATTTGGAGTTTGGCTTATTTCTTACCTGCTTCTACCATAGTGATAGGTAAGAAATAATTCATCTTAATAAATTAGCAAAAATATTTGTACAGTAGCGCATCAATTATCTGAAACAATTGATACAAAACCCAGGATTGGGGTTGTTTGGATAATCGATTTTTCGGATAACTGATTATGTACGAAAAATATATTAACCTATCACATGTTGAAATTCGTTCAAATCCTGGCATGTCCTTATGTACCTTCTCATGGTTGCGCCAGTGCTGCCAGCTAAAACACACATACCAACAAAAATAATATTGGAGTAGCCCAAGACATAGCCAAATATTGCAGCGCCACAGCACTAGCAGAAATTTAAATTTGCCGACTGGAAAGCTTTCCGTTAATTGACGTTTCGGTTGATCGATATTCGGATAATTGATGCTTTACTGTATTTTGCTTCTATGATGATTTAAAGAAATAGTTTAATTAAATATCATAATTGATACTAATGAGTTCATAATTTGCTTCCAATACATTACTGTACATGTTTTAAACCTAATGACACGCTAATAAATGAACTACAGTTAATATAATCGACAAGAGCCGATTACTGAATAATGAAATAAAATATGTTGAAAACTACTAAAATTTAATAAATACACTGGGTGATTGGTTAACGAACTCTTTCCGAAAGATTTTTATGTTCGGACAACGAACACCTCACTGCAGAAACACGTGAAGAAGCGGCGTAAAATAATGAATACCGATTGGTTTTCCTTTGTCTTCAGGTAACAATTCTAAACTTTTCGGAACGCGGGAGATGTCGATATCGACACTCAACCCGGTATATACTGATTGGATAGTATTCCTCCGAACTTTGGAACTCTTCCTTGTAATTCCGGTCTTTATTTTTCTGACAGAAACAATTCTTTTATAGTATTGGCAAGACTGTTGGGCAGGCACTTGTTAAGTTTTGCGTCTGTTTTTAGTTTCGAAAGGTGAGAGTATAATAGCAAAGGTAGAGAGTGGGCAGAAGATGTCTAGTGTTGCTAGGCAGTGTGGCTTGAGCAGGTCTACAGTAGGCACAATCTTAGCTAAGAAAGATATAATCAAGAAGACTCAAGCAGCTAAAGGAGTAACAAAAATCACATCTGAGAAATAAAGAACATTGAAGAACTCATAATGGAAACTGATCTGACGACAGAAGAATGTCAAGAACTCTTGAATGAAGAACACCAAGAAACTTGGCGAAATATGTTTTCTTCTGAAAAAGAGGATTAATGCCGATATCTGCTATTAAACATCTTTTGAAGAAGTAGGAGGATGAGAACAATGGTCTTAGAATGGCATCCAAATACCTTAAAGGAAAAGTACATACTTTATGAAGGCATAGAGCCTTTACTACATGAAAATGAAAATTGATGAATACACAGTGTACAGTAACTTACCTGATAAGACAGGCCTCAGAAAAATACTTTGAGGCATAAAGCTGTCTATAATGAAAATTAACTAGGGGTTTTTTTGCCCTGCCAAGGTGTGGCTGAGTTATCTGGACTGCCGGGTTATCAAGTGCCGAGTTTTTGGGACTCTACTGTATTACATATAAATAAACATAGTAAGAAAGTATATATTTTTTATTTTTTGGGGTCTCCAGAACGAATTAATGAAATTCCCGTAAAAACCTGTGGTAAGTATACTATGATACGCTTCTTGTCTAGTCTTCTCAATGGTTAGTGAACGCTAAGATTGGCTTTACTTTACTTCTAGACTTATTACACCACCACAGGACATCAAATTAGATTTAGAAAAACACTATTTTATTTTCAGAATGCATTTCGGACATAGAGTCCCTCATCAGCTATTTGCTACAAAAATTAATAGGAGGTTAACAATTTTATAAAAAGGCCGTGATTGACATAAATGAACAAAAATGTGGACTTACATTTGACATGTGGGTTCGACGCGTTGAACATTAATTAAAAGATTAAGCATACGATATACAAGATTTCTCGTTAAAAACGGTAATGTTGGTGCAATAACGTAATAATAAACAGAGGTACTGGTAAAACAGTAAAGTTATAAAAATATACATTGTTAACAAAATGATAAGTAAATTCACAGTAACACGAACAGAGTAAGAAGACGATTCGAAGTACATTCCAGGGTGACTGTCACCCTCACCCCTATCCGTTTTCACACCTCTCCCCTCCCCCCACGCCTCCTCTGGTCAAATATGCGTACCACGATTCATGTAATTTTTGGCCAGAGTTGTTATTCATGATTTTCTCTTTGTTTTTAATTATTTCTAAGTGTTCGTACCATCTTCTTTTATAAGTATTTTATAAGTATTGGTTCCTTTCTAATTATTTTGACAGTATCCTTTACAATCTGACAGCCTTCATTATTACAGTGGGCGGCTACAGCCGAACTATCATTATTGTGTGCTATGGCAGAGATATGTTCATTGAAACGGACCTTTAATTCCCTACTAGTTTCACCAATGTAAGATTTGGGTGTAGTACAGTCGCACTCAAATTCGTAAACAACGTTTTTTTGGTCCCATATGTTAGCTTTCCTGTTAGGTACGTTTATTTCCTTATGTAAGCTGTTGCGATGTTCGGGTACCAGAATAATATTATACTTAACTAATTTACTTTTGATTCTTTCAAAAATATTCGTAACGTAAGGAATTTTAAGAAATTTATAAGCAGTGTTGTCAATTGGTTGTTTGTGTGCATTAACATATTTTTTATCAAGCCAGTTACTAATCATGCGCTTGCTATAACCGTTTAATAAGTATGTTTTTATGATGTCTTCGATTTCATTGGATATATCGGTATCATATGTGGTACGTTGCATAATTTTATCCAAGTACATGTAGAAAGTATTCTTTTTTATATAAGTTGGTACTTCAGATGTAAAGTGTATGACGCTGTCAATAGTACAAGGTTTTTTATATTTTTTAAAGGTTGTTTTGTCTTTGTGTCTCGTGACGAGAATGTCTAAGAATGGTAACTGACAGTTGCATTCAGGTTCTAAGTCAAATTTAATGTCATTTTCTATTTTATTTACGTGTTCCAGGATTTTGTCCGCCTGTATGATGATGTCATCATATATGAGAAAACAGTCGTCGACGTAACGGTACAGTTCAATTATACCCTTGATGCTGACAACGTCATGATCAATACTGCACATACTTAATTCAGCAAGGATTGGTCCTATTATTGAGCCCATGGGGATACCATCGCATTGTCTAAAGAATCTTTTTTGGCTGACAAAATAATTATTTTCCAACACGAGTTACCATATCTATGATCCATTGCTGACAGTTTTGGATTTTTAATGTAGCTAATATTCTGTTGCGTTTAATGGACGGATACATGCTGCGTACGTCCAAGGAGGCAATCCTGTGGGTGGGCTCGAACTTTAAAGTTTTGAGTTTTTGTATAAAGTAGTCACCCTGGAATGTACTTCGAATCGTCTTGTTACCCTGTTCGTGTTACTGTGAATTTACTTATCATTTTGTTAACAATGTATATTTTTATAACTTTACTGTTTTACCGGTACCTCTGTTTATTATTACGTTATTGCACCAACATTACCGTTTTTAACGAGAAATCTTGCATATCATATGCTTAATCTTTTAATTAATGTTCAACGCGTCGAATCCACATGTCAAATGTAAGTCCACATTTTTGTTCATTTATGTCAATCACGGCCTTTTTATAAAATTGTTAACCTCCTATTAATTTTTGTAGCAAATAGCTGATGAGGGACTCTATGTCCGAAATGCATTCTGAAAATAAAATAGTGTTTTTCCAAATCTAATTTGATGTCCTGTGGTGGTGTAATAAGTCTAGAAGTAAAGCCAATCTTAGCGCTCACTAACCTATGGTAAATCGATAATCGGTTAACAAACAATTTGGATAGCAAAGAAAGTCTTGGAACAGATTATGTTCGTTAACTGATCACCCACTGCAATCTCAAATATGTACTGTACATTAAATCTAACATTAACATAGATTAACATAGATAGTAAATTAACATTAACATAGATTCAAACAGCTTTGCATTCCTTCATGTACCAACCAAGATTATATACCATTTTTAAAATCATAACAAAATAGAGATGCAAGGATTTACTGTGTCCCCATCTATGATAATAGGTTATACATACACTAGTGTTGTTAATAATTTACAGTAGTAGTTATTATTATAAAACTATGAGGGATGGCTTCTTCAAATTATTTAAATCACTAAATTAGTGCAGTTGAGATGACAAATAATGATCTCTCTGTTTCTCTTTTTGCCACTAACCACTGAGACCCAGGTAAACAAAAAAATTTTTACATTTAGAAAGATATTTTATTTTTCATTGATTTGACTTTTTTTAAAAAGTTCATTTTGGCCGAATTACTTATTTGACCCTCTTCAGTTTAAACTTAAAAGATGACATTTAAGATAATTATATCAATATAACATCTCTTTTATGCACCTCAGTTTCTCCACTCTGATCTCTGCCCATTATAAACATTTAAAACATAGTATACATATGTATATGTATACTATGTATCACCAGCCAATCACTTTTAGCATGATTAAAAGAACATAAAGATAACAGAACACAACACACTAGTCACAGCATCAGCTTTTTTTGCTACTGAGCCCAGGCTGACAGTGAACCTTAAGGAAGCTAGACTAATCAGGAAAGCTCATGATGAAAACAACATTAAAACCATGGAAATCCTGCAGATTTATAAAGCATCCAAAGACTGAAATTGTGTCAACCCATAGTATTGTAAGACATTATCAGCTGCATGGCAAATATTTTACGATGATAAATGGGGGGAATAAAGCTAAAATCCAATAGCTACATAATTTATAAACATTACTAAGAAATTGGTCTCAATCAATATTGTTCATTCGTTTTAATTTTGGAACATACGTCATTGAACTAATAGGCAATTACATAATTTAAAAGCATTCCAATACATTTTAGAACATTGGGGCATTCCATTTTCTGAAAAATAAGAAGTTCCAGTTAAACCTGAAACAGAATATTGAATGTAGTCGAAAACATATGTAAATCATCTACTTCACTGCTGGAAAGTACATAGGTTTTCTTGATTGAACATGGATATAAGTTCCAGCTTTTGGATACTGCAATTCTAAAAGAATGTGACTAGAATGAATGTTATGAGAGATTCTATTATTAGCTACATTTTGACTGAAAATTTTTCAGCACATAAAAAGTAGATTCATTGTTTTACTTGATATTCTGTTCAGTTTAAAAGGAAATTTTCAAAAATATTCTTTATGTTTCCATCTAAATATATGCTGTATTTTATTAATGTGTGATCCTGTCCTAATTCACTTTTGATTCAAAATGGCAGGAAGATTGCTCTGCTTTCTTGGTGTGTTGTGATTCATTTTAAAAAGAACATGCTACTGAAAATGTACAAAAAATACAGAACAAATGAGTTCTTAATAGTAAAATTTTTAAAAATATAAAATTAAGAGTTTTAATTTTATCTTAATTTTTAGTTCAAATATAAATATATCAATAAACAAATATTTAATCTATAATGAAGTAACATAAATATGGGGATCTTGACAAAGAATATATGTCAATATTGCTCTTTTTAAATATATTTTATATAACTACAAATTTCATTTTCTGTAGTGGATTTATTTTACTCTTGTTGAAGTGCAGTTTTTTGCCAATAGTATCAACAGCTTTCTGTATAGTAAGAGAAAATTAGCATTATTATGAATACATTGCTTAATGCATTTTTAATATGTACTGTTCATGTTTTTTTTGTTAAATGATTATTTTGAGCACTTTTTTCCCCCTTCATAAACTATTAGTATTTTTGTTCTATATTATATGAATAAATTTTTTTTTCAAAAATACTGAAGTTTATATTATTTACTATGAATGATGATATATATAATGAATTTGTTTACAGACAGGAGAGTCTCGCATTTTATATCATTTTCACTATATGACCTGGCCTGATTTTGGAGTACCAGAATCACCAGAAGCTTTTTTACAGTTTTTACATGTAATTAGAGAAAAAGGAATACTTGATGTTGAAAATATACCTCCTGTAGTTCATTGTAGTGCAGGAATTGGTCGTTCTGGAACATTTTGTCTTGTAGATTCTTGTCTTGTGATGGTAAGTTTTCAAAACTTGAATAATAATAATATAATATATTTATGAAAATTGAAATAATCTTATTATATACAGATTGAAGAAATGGGAAGAATGGATTTTGTTGGTGTAAAAGATTTGCTTCTCGAAATGCGCAAATATAGAATGGGCTTGATTCAGACTCCAGATCAATTGAGATTCTCCTACCTAGCTATAATAGAAGGATCAAAGAATATCTTAATAGAAAATAAACCTCCTCCATTACCTCAAAAGCAGAAGGTTAGTAAAGATATGCTATTATTTTATTGCAATTTTTCAGTATGATTAAAAAGTAGCATTCATCTATAATACAAATAAGGCAAATGTGACTTGATAGGTTAAATGAAAGATTTACAAGTACAGCTTGAAAACAGAAATAGAGCTAAAATTTACTAGTTTTGAAGTTTTGTAAACTTGTATTTATCATTAAATTTTTGTTAAAATACCAAATTTTACTGAATTTATAAAGCATAGAGAAATTGGTGTTTTGGATTAAATGATTAGAAAAATATTTAATTCTACTAATAATTTATTCTAAGACAAAGATTTTACATTAAAAAATTGAAAAATTGAATTTTACTTTTGGTGATGTAGTGGCAATTTTTAGAAATATCATCATATATGTTTCTTTGTGCTATGTTTTCATGTTTTTAAACCAATCACATATAACCAATACCAAACAATAAAACATTCTTACATCTTTGAAAGATTAATGAAATGGAAGGTCTAAATGGTAAGGAGCATGTAATATACTAAATTCCAATAAATATGAGGAAAGTTACCCAAAATTAGTGAATTGCAGTATTCTCATATTCATAATTTTTGACAAAAAAAATTATTAATGATTACAAGAATGTAATTAATAAATAGGTACAGTAATACCCCAAACTTACGCAATAGGTGGGACCGAGCGATAATCGCATAAGTCGAATTTGCGTAAGTCGGGGTATAATTTCGCAATTTTCATAAAATCCAATTCAGATGTATGTAAGCTAATAAATGTTCTTGTTAATCTTATCTCGTCTTTTGATTCGTTCATGGTTACGAGAAATCACCACATAGAGTCTCTCGAGTCTCCATAGATATAACAAACACAGAAATAAATAACACAAAATAAATTGTAGCTATTTCTCGATTCCGCGTGACACGTCCGAACATGTAAGCTGAACAATAGTCTGGGGGGAGTGAGTAATTGAGAGTTGCGTGGTGCTCAAACAAAAGACGAATCGACAAGATTTGAAAATCACATAACTCCGGGTTCGCGTAAGTCGAGGTATTACTGTATTACCTAATTACCTAAATTTAAACATGTAAACAGTTTACTAATATTGATTTCATTTGAGATATGAAAGGGAGGAGACATGATAGATAGAATATATATTAATGTTGCTTTTGAAATTTAATTATCCTACAAGTTATGGAAAATTTAAAAGCTGAAATTGTTTTACAGTGAGTTTGCTTAGCTTTTATAAAATCATATTTCAAAATTGATTGAGATTCGTTTATCATTATCATAATTATTTATTCATTTTCATTTTCTGAAGACTAATAATAATAACTCATTGACATTATAAACCTTCACTACAAACAAATACAGTCACTGCGAGAGTTTTTCTACAAGAAACAAGATACATCACAGTTACATAAAGCAGTAACTCTAGCAGACTCAAACAGCACACCATTAAACTTACACTCACAACAAACAGACATGACACAACACATAAAAAGCAAATATAATACACCAAGAGCTTGCAAAGAAGCACAACTTGGTACACATTCACGAACCATACTACAAGTATATTCCACAGACAGTATTGGAAAACTACACACACAAAATGTACTACGACAGAGCCATAATCACAGATAACAATTTACCACAATAGACCAGACATCACACTCATTGACAAACACAATAAAATCACATACATTATAGACGTAGCCATTCCAAACACTCACAATGTACAAAACACATGCACTGAAAAAATTAGCAAGTACACAGAACTCGCCCAGGAAATAAGGCATCTGTGGAGGATGGATAGGGTGCTTATTGTACCTGTCGTTCTCTCCTGTACAGGTGTAATACCACACATACTACACAAAAGCCTGGGAACATTAGAATTGAATAGAAATACATACATCACACTACAGAAGGCCACTATATTGAATACATGCCATATTGTTAGGAAATTCCTGAATACAGACACTGACACACTTATTTAATTTTAGTTTTGTTTTGGTTGCTTTGCCTTGACGCAGGTCCGGCATAGTACACAGCCACTGGTATGTACCGAGTATAACCCACTAAACCCAACATAATAATAATAATTAATATTATTATTATGTGTTGGGTTTAGTGGGTTATACTCGGTACACACTGGTGGCTGTGTACTATGCCGGCCCAAAGTCAGGGCATAGCAACCAAAACAAAACTAAAATTAAATAAGTGTGTCAGTGTCACTGTCTGTATTCAGGAATTTCCTAACAATGTGACATGTATTCAATATAGTGGCCTTCTGTACTGTGATGTATGTATTTCTACTCAATTGTAATGTTCCCAGGCTTTTGTGTAGNTTAAATTTGGAATAAGATTTTATTAGCATAAGCTATTGGTATTCTATTTTTAAGTTCACTTATAATTAAAATAGTTTTGAATGAAGAATTTATTCTATTGGTAATATATAATTATACTTCAGCAGCTTCAAAATCTACAGAGAAAACAATAAGTTTATTTATTTTCTTTTTTTAACATTTTAAAGTTAGATTATTATATCTCATATGATGAATTTTACAAGTGTTAACTGTTTTAATTTTTAATATATTAATTGTGATTAATTCCTTAACATGTTTTCTTCATAAATGCATTGCAGTTTTATAGTTTTACTATGTTAAAAAATATTTCTTGGCCCTATATTGATGATAAATTTTTTATGTTTAGTTAGGAGAAATTTTAGAAAATAAACTCTGCTTAGACTATGCATCCGATGAAGCAGAATCTGAAGAGACTTCAGAAGAATCTGTTTCAAGTTTTATTGATAAATCAGAAGAAGAATTAGTGGTGATGAATGAAGCAGCCCAAGCACAAGAAACACAAATAGATATTGATATACTTAAAGATAATTCAGAAGCATCAATTGAATTAATGCAGAAAAATGATGAGGTACTTACAGAAAATGAAAATAGTTTAGTTGAAGCAGCAGAAGTTGAGGAAAATACTTCAGAAAGTATTGAAAATTTTAATGATACATCAAGTATTGTTGATGGTTCTAAAACTGATGAAATAAATAATGAAATATGTCAAGAAAGAGCTTCACAGTTGATAGTTAATGAAATGCATAAAACAAATGAAATAGAAGTCAAATCAGTTTTAGAAGATGAAACACAATCAACAACTTACTCTGTTTCTTATGATACAGAACAACAGCTACCAGAAGATACTCAGCAATCATTGGATGAAATTTTACAAGTAAATACAGAGATGGAAGAGAAGGTTTTTTCTGAAGAAAATGAAGTATCGTCATCTTCAGAAACTGTATTGAATGATACTGAAAATGTTTTATCTGATGAACTTATTAGAAATAATAATAATAATAATGAATCATCTCAGGATAGTAAAATCTCTTCTTATGAAAATCAGCCAAATGATATGGATTCATTAGAAAAAGATAGTTCATTAACAACAAATTCTGCAGCTACAGATGAGAATGAAGAAATTGAATTGAATATATGTGATCGTTATTTGGAGTTCTACCAAAATGGAGACATTTATTCAATTAAAACAAATAAAGATAAAAACACATTACTAAAAAACGAAACCTCAAAATATTTAAATGAATTGTCATTTGGCAATTTTTCATCTCAGTGTTCAAACAACTTTAAAGGTAATGATATTAAAATAACTACCAGAAGTGGCCAACGGTCATCATCGTGTCCACGTCAGCTTCCAAGTATAGTTTCAAAGTTATCAGATAAAATGTAAGTAATTGCTGATACTTTATCTAAATTATACATATAATAAAAGAAACATGCATTATTTACAAGCATTTAGATATTTAAATACAAAAATAATCCCTCGTCAAACCCTTTAACCGGTATTAAATAAGAGTAAAATTACATGCAAATGTTTTCGGATTATTCAAATAATTTTACTCTTATTTAATACCGGTTAAAGGGTTTGATGAGGGATTATTTTTTTTTTTTTCAGTATTTGAAGATTTTTATTTAGATATTTACTCATTGTTTAGGTTTAATCTTCTTAGATTGGTATTAATAATAATGAACTATTAATTTCAGACTATTTAAAATTAATTATATTTATTACAGTAGAATCTGTTTATTGTAATCTTCTTGGGACTCTGCTATACTGATAACAGTAACTGAATACAGTGGTACCTCAGGATACAAACACCCCAGCATATGAAATTTTCAGGATACAACATGAAATTCGAACATATTTTTGCTCCACAATACAAACAAAAACTCACCATACGACGTTACATTAGTTCACAGAGCCATTTTTTATTCACTTTTGTTCATTGGTCTCAGTCACGTGTTTGCTTCGTTGTGAAGGGATCTCGCTCAATAAAGGAAATCTTGAGGTATTATCAGAAAGTGACAGATTTTATTGAAAAGAAACATCCCGAAAAGGTTCATACAGGCCGTGTTGCTGCTTGGAGTAAAGACATTTGCTTGGAGTAAAGTCATTTTAGAAACATTTTAAAAAGTAGGCAAAAGAAACCTCTTTGGATAGATATTTTACCAAGTGACCTCTATCCAGTGAAAGTGCTGGTGGAAGTGAAAGAAACAAAGCAAAAAGCAGTGAATAAAAAATTTAAAAAAATATATAAAACAGAAAAGTTAAAAATTAGTGTTAAGTTATTTTTAAGTTATTGTTACATTATGTTATGTAAGTTAAGTTTTGTATCATTTCTCTTCTCCCTCTCCTCTGCCACCAGTTTACACCTCCACCATCATCTATCCTCAAAGGTAAAGTTCAAATAAAACTACATTTTTTTTTATCAATTATAATTCTGTTATGGTTATTTATATATTTACAACTACAAAACACATTTTTCAGTGTTTTCCTTACTAAAGTTTTTTTTTCCAATGTACTGCTTAGCTTTAATTTGAGTGTGCTTTTTGTGTTGGAACAAATTATTTGGTTTTACATGTAATTGTATGGGAAAAAATGATTCATCTTGCAACATTTTCATGATATGACCTTAGTTTCAGAATGGATTAATTTCATATCCTGAGGTACCACTGTAACTTTAAGTGGAGTAAGTGAATAGGACTTACAAGTATTGGAAATTCTGATTTTTATTGATTCTGACATTAGAAACATACGTTAAAACAGCTAAAAATTGTATAGCTTGAAGGTTACTATTAATAATAATAATTATAATAAATAAAACTATCCAGTATTGTTACCTGCTGTTTTTTGCAAGAAGAAGTTTAATAGCAGTTAGCATAAGTTGAAGTGAGAAATGCATGCAATGTTAAATTGTTATATTTGCAAACATTTTATGATGAAAATGATAAATATTTAATGTTTGAAACACTAGCCTGGTAATGACATTTTTAAATTGGGAATAGTGATAACTATAATTGAGCTCTGATTACAGTCACGTGAAGTTTTAAAAATACGTTTCAATTCATGAGAATTAGCATGTCTCAAAATAGTACTTACAGATTTAACATTAAATGATTGATTATAATAGACAGATTCTATTGCATACAAACATGTCTAAAATGACTTCATTGATCATTTTTTCACATTGCAAAATATATTTTTTACAAAAACATGATTGAAAATTGCATTTAGCTAGCACTTAAAATTTATTACTTGAATATGTACAGTACAGTAATTCTGGTTTAGTAAATGTATAGTTCTGGTGTGGACATGCAATACTTTACCAGGTTGTTCAATAAGTTTTGTCGTTCGATAAGAGGTGGCGCTATTAGGAGCGTCACTTTATTACTCTATAAATAGTACTACTATTTCATAAACACATGTCAAGTTTTAAGTAGATCCATCAACTCATTATATATTTGCAGCTGTTCAAAGTTGACTGTCATTGTATTTTTTTACGATGGAAAAAATTGAATATCGTGCAGTGATAAAATTCTTATTTTTGGAAGGTGTAGCACCAAAACAAATTCATGAACGATTGTTAAAAGTGTATAAGGACTCTTCACCTTCAATCAGAACAGTAGAAAGATGGGTTGCTGAATTTAAACGTGGTCGTACGAGTCTTGGAGACGATCCACGTGAAGGGCGTCCAAAAAGTGCATCAACACCAGAAATCGTAGCAAAAATACAGCATATGGTTTTGGAAGATCGTCAATTAACCGAGAGAGATTTAGTAGAAGCCCTAGGGATTTCGTTAGGCAGTGTGAGCAATATTTTGGCTGAAGTTTTGGGTTACAGAAAGCTGTGTGCACAATGGGTGCCGCATTCGTTAACTGTGGAACAAAAACACATTCGAATGCAACGTTCTCAGCAACATTTGGAGCGTTTTAGAAAGGATAAAAAGGATTTTGTGCGTCGTTTCATCGCTATGGATGAGACATGGGTCTACCACCATGATCCTGAATCAAAACAAGAGGCTAAGGAGTGGTGTGAACCCGGTACTTCGGCTCCGAAGCGTGTTAGGGTCCAGAAATCGGCCAAGAAGGTGTTAGCATCAGTTTTTTGGGATGCAAAAGGAATTTTGTTTGTGGATTACCTCCAAACTGGTAAAACAATAAACTCAGATTATTATTGTAACCTTTTGGACCAGCTAGATGGAAAAATTCGTGAGAAAAGACCTGGTTTAAAAAAGAAAAAAAATCATTTTTCATCAAGACAACGCCCCCTCTCACACAGCTCAAAAAACCATTGCAAAAATCAGTAAATTAAAATACGAATTGTTGCAACATCCTCCCTATTCGCCAGATTTAGCTCCCTCTGACTTCTGGCTGTTCTCACATCTAAAAAAATTCATGCGTGGGAAACGATTTTCATCGAACGAAGAGGTAATAACAGCCGTGGATGCGTATTTCGACAGTCTTCCGGTTTCTCACTTTAAGGAGGGAATCCATAAATTAGAAGATCACTGGAACAAGTGTATTGAAGTTCAGGGAGATTATATTGAATAATAAAATGTATTTCAAACCATAAAATCGTGTTTTTCTTATCGAACGACAAAACTTATTGAACAACCTGGTATTTCATTACAAACACATTTTGATGAATATCTATTTAATTTTTAAAAATAATTATTATTGGATCATTTTGCAATATTATATTATTAATAAAAAAAATTATATAGTTAATTAATACATAGACATTACCTGATTAGTTATAAGATTAAACGTTTAAATTTATTCTAGAAATGTTTTCAGATAACATGGATTATGAAAGAAATGCTTTCATTTGTTTTCCAGAAAACTATTTTAGTTAGGGAAATAAAACTCAAATTATATTATCAATTATGTGTTTGTTGAATTGCTTTTATTTTTCTTCATATTTTTCTTTGTTCTATACATTTTTCTAGTGTTAAACAAAGATTCTGTATCTCCTTTCATAAAAGATATTATCCACTCTGATTGAGCCATTTTCTGACTGCTGATTTTGCTTTTTCATTATGGAGAGAGATGTTACCAACAAAGTCCATTCTTCATCGGACCAAAGAGGTGGAAGTCTGATGAAGATAGGTTAGGATTGAAAAGAATGTTTGAAAAGACAGTCCATTCCAAATTTTTGATGCATTCAGACACCAGAATTGTTTATGCTGATGATAGCTTCAGTAAATTTTAATTTACTGAAGGTATTATTGGTTTCAATAATAAACTTTTGATTGGCTATTTTAATGAAGCAGTGCTGTTAGTTCTCATACATAATGACATCAGTTTTATTTATTTTGTTGATAAAATTGGAAATTTTCTGTAGCATTTAATGGGCACAGGATTACAATCAAAGTACAGTATTTGAACTGTTTTATAATTCATGTGAACAGTTAAACAATTACAGAACAGAACTTACAATAATTAGTTATAATTTCTGCAGTTTGTATGCTGATGAATTTCTTTTTTATTAAAGGAATGGAAAAATAAGAAAACGTAGAAATAGTGCAGACTCTGGAATATCTCCTGAAACAGCATCACCTTTAAAATTAAGAAAAACCCAAGAAAATATCAGGTTAGTATAGAATTCAATATCTTTTTAATTTTATTGTTGTTCTTAGAAATAGAGTTTAGAATATATTTTTCTAAAATATAGAGAATAACAAATTATCCTTTTAAGATATGTTGACAATTATTTGAATAATTCTATTATAAATTTCTGTTTATTTTATTGTCTAATTGAATATCTCTGATCAAAGTAAATAAAAAGAAACATCTTGCACCATACCACTGTTATTAAAAACAAACATTTATAAGAACCAACTATTTTCAACTATTGAATTTTTTATATTTAATAATGTTAAGAACTGTTTTTATAAATTTAATAATTGCAAAATTCAACAAACTCTAATCATTCTTAATTTGATTAAGTGGGTGAAAAGCCTGATAATAAAAATTCCTAATCAACATTTCCAAAAACTTATAATTCCAAGACTTGTAGTTTACCGGTGTACCTAAAAGTATACCTTGCCAAATTTACAATCATCTTTTGTGTAATTAGTGACAACATACTAATACAGTAGAACCTTGATTATCCGGATTGTTAAAATAAACAAAAATTTTATGAATTTGCTGATTTGCACTTGGTGAATTACAACACTGTTTGTGTACGTGATGGAATGCATAACTTTTTTTGTTTCAACGTCTCATTCAGCACAGTGGTCGTAAACTCTTAAATATATTTTACGTCGTAATAAAAATATAACTTGGCATACGTATTTATAAATAATTTATATTCAAATTACATCATTTCTATGACCAAGGGCGACGTAAGGCATGGACGACATATGCCTCGCGGTCCGAAGGGCCTTGCGCCTCGAAGGTTTAAAAGCTGCGAATGCGACAAAAAAATTTTACTCATCATAAAATGATAAATAGTTTGTCAAATTTTTATTCATAAAAATGCAGTTTCAACTGCTTTTTATTTTATAAAATCCGTCTTCTTGCGCCACCAGAGGGCCTTTTAAACAATAGGTAGTCTGTTAGCGCTGGTCAGTAGTAGTCCAAATTCAATACAAACATTTGTTTCTTGAAAATTTGATCACGATTTAAATACAGTATTTATTTTTAATATTACCGATATGTCATCGAAAAGAAAACGTGTTGTATTATCATTAAAAGACAAATTAAAGTATTTGTTTCGATTATCCAAATTTTTCCTTATCCAGACTACCTTTATCCTCAATTAGTCCGGATAATCGAGGTTCTACTGTATATATAAAATTTTTACAATATTACATTACAATTTCATCATTAAAAATTATTTGTTTGGAGTAATGATGTCTAAACTACAGCTCCTGTGCTAACTCCAGCTTATACACACATTTAGTACATCATTTATAAATGATAGAAATAGGTCTACTTTTTGCATATATGAAATATACAAAATATTTGTGGTCTGCTTACCTATAACTTACATACAATTTGGATTGTCACTCAGTTTGGGCACCACTGATTTAGATCATATAGAATGCAAATACAAAGGATTCACCCACAATTAATGCTTTCTCAGAATGAAATCAGTTAAATAAATATTCAGTTTTACACACTTTACTATTTAATTAAAGGTAAATTAAAATATTAAGAACTGAAGCATTTTTAAAATTATTTTTTTAACAGTGAGATTTGTCAATAGCTCTAAAACCAATGGTTGTGGAGTTGATACGCAAAATCTCTGATTCTGGCTCACCATTTTAAAATTTTTGACACAATTTTTAAATCCTTTATAAAAATTCAATATGTATTAATAATGGTAACCCTACTAAAATGGTAAATAGTACCATAAGATATTTCAACACTATGTTAATTATCAAACTGCTTTCTTCTTAGGTTTATAAGTTATATATACAAGGGATGATCAAAAACTAAGGTTACAAGGCCAATATTCCTGGAGTTTTGTTTGTTATAGAGAAATGAGAAGTGTGCAGTAATTCCAATACATGTGGTTGGCAACTGTTCAGTGTTTCAGCCACTCACCACCTACAGCGCTAGTTGTAGGTAAACACAAATGGCAACTCGTTTGGAAAACTGGTCTTGCGAAGAAATCTGCTCAGTTATTTGATTTCTGTGGGTGAAATATGTAACTACAACTGAAATTCACTGGCAGTTGGTGGAGGTTTACAGAGAAAGTCTTGTTAGCACGTTGCTGAATGCTGTTGGAAGTTTGCGCCGGTAGAGAAAACATCACCAACAAAGATCACAGTGGCCGGACCCAGCATGGCATCAACAGATGTCAACGTAGCTCACTCCAAGTGACTTTCACCTGTTTCCTCACTTGAAGGAGAACCTAGCAGGACGACTATTTGCTTCAGACAAGAAAGTGAAACACTTCGTGACAACTTGGCTGAACACGCAAGGACAGGATTTTTACCGGGAGGGAATTTTCAAACTCATCACATGAAGTGACAAGTGCCTAAATTGATATGGGGACTGGATCAAAAATAATTTAATGTATGTACTATCAGTTGGCTGTATTGGTTGTATGAAATAAAATGTACACTTTACACTGCAGGCTTTGTAACCTTAGTTTTTGATCATCCCTCGTAAATGCTAATTTATACTAACTAAATATTATACTCAGCTCTTTAAAATATTTAATAAATCATCAAACACCTGATGCCAAGAAATGTTTATTAATTAATTTAAACAAACATTAACGTTTTCAACTCAATATGATAGGCCATCTTCAGATGCAACCGAAATTTAACATATTTGAACTTAATGTTCAAACACTTTTACATTTAAATTTAGAACAAAATACTAGATAAATTAAATAAATAATAAAATAAAATAAAATATACTAAATGAACTAATACAACAACAATGTAAATAATATAATAAAATAATAAATAACACATGTAAAGTAAAATAAAAATAAAAAGGCATTTTTGTGTATTTATTTCATTTAAGGGTAAGGACAGATGCAGGCTAAGAATTTTTGTGTTTTAGTTTTTCTTTTATGTAGAATTTTCATGCAGAAGATAGTCCATCTGCATCCCTGGTGTTAATACAACAATCCTTTAATTTACTTTTATAGATTTCAATTTTTTCTTTGTGCATTGCTAATGATGGGGAAGGCATAGTCCTGAGGATAGTCGCTTCATTCCATTTAACCACAGAATCCTCTGCTTGTACCATACAGGATAATACTGTGTTACAGTTTCCTTTATTAATGTCATAATTGTGCTCCTTAATTCTGATAGCTAAATTCCTTCTTGGGACCCCAATATAGTCCTTCTTAATTCCTAATTCCTGATTTTCAAATGGAATTTTATATATGCCCGAAAATCAGGAATTAAGAAGGACTATATTGGGGTCCCAAGAAGGAATTTAGCTATCAGAATTCAGGAGCACAATTATGACATTAATAAAGGGAATTGTAACACAGTATTATCCTGTATGGCACAAGCAGAGGATTCTGTGGTTAAATGGAATGAAGCGACTATCCTCAGGACTATGCCTTCCCCATCATTAGCAATGCACAAAGAAAAAATTGAAATCTCTATAAAAGTAAATTAAAGGATGGTTATATTAACACCAGGGATGCGGATGGACTAGCTTTTGCATGGAAATTCTACATAAAAGAAAAACTAAAACACAAAAATTCTTAGCCTGCATCTGTCCTTACCCTTAAATGAAATAAATACACAAAAATGCCTTTTTATTTTTATTTTACTTTACACGTGTTATTTATTATTTTATTATATTATTTACATTGTTGTTGTATTAGTTCATTTAGTATATTTTGTTTTATTTTATTATTTATTTGTTAATTTATCTAGTATTTTGTTTTAAATTTAGGACGTGGCTAGTTATACAGTACATACAGTATGTATGCGCAGTTGGCTATTTATACATACTGATGACTGTATGCGCTGTTATTACAATTAATATTTTGATGATAACTACACAATTATAAATAATTATAGTTTTATTTATTAAAGTTCAGTTACAATGTTGTTCAATAAAGTAATCAATAAACTATGAAGTATCATTAAATCAGTGAAATATAGGTGATGAAATTTAAAGATTGGTAGGTATATCAATAAAGTAAAATAAATATATTATTTTTTATTCTGTATTTTAATTTTTTTTTTAAGTGGTCTGTTTAGTCTTTCTCTTTGGACATCCTTTGGATTTAATTTTAGTTTTGAATTTTAAGTTTTTATTTGATTGATTTTAACAGGACTCATTATTAGACTGAATTTGTTCTTCAGGTTCAATTGTACTAAGCCCACTACTCTCATGTTCAAAAAGAGAATTTCCATTTCTTGCATTGCTTTCTATTACTTTTAATTCCTCTATATATTTATTGAAGGCTTGCATTCCATAATTAGACAAAATATCTGGAATATTTTTAGTTATCACCAGTGCTGTATTAAATTTTTCCCTATCTGATAATATTTTGTTGGGACAATCAAAATCATCAGTAAAAGTTTCATCTTCAATATGATCATCGATGTCTACATTTACATCATCTGTATCCATACTTAGTGCATTTTCAATTGAAATAATATATCTTGCATAAAAGCAAGTTTTTGAAAATATTTCCAAATTATTATATTTTCTTATAAGAATATGACGACATGATGCACTAAAAGAATTCCAAAATGAACAAGAACATCTTTCCACCGATGTATTACAAAATTTTGATATTTTGCTATCAAGATTTTCCTCAATGCCATTATTTTTAATTCTCATTTCTCGATAATCAATATCATAATTAGGTTATCGATAATCAAAATTTAGGATATTCTAAATTATAAATAACATTAAAACTGTCATCTTTATGTCATGGCTTTAAAAGGATTAAATAGCCAATTGCATATACATACTGTATGTATAAATAGCCACTTTGTTAAATTTTTAATGAAATTATTTAAATGTAAAAGTGTTTGCACGTTTGCCGTTTAAATGTTAAGTTCAAATACATTCGAATTTCGGTTGCATCTGAAGATGGCCATGTTGGGTCGAAAATATTAATGTTCGTTTAATAAACATTTCTCAGCATCAGGTATTTGATGATTTATTAAGCTAATTTATACTTCAAGGATAAGTTTATACTGAGGTTGGAGTTGGTACATTTTTACTAATTCTGATACAAAGTTGTTTTTGATTCTGACTCTACAGCCTGAGCTTGAACAAACCTTCATCATTATTTCATTAAACTATACATTATTGAATAATACATGCTTTATGTTTTTAAATAATCATAAAAAGATAATTAATAATTTAAAACTTAATACATTTTTTTATGTAGTGATGATGAGTGTGAAAGTATAGGGAAGATTGAAAAATTCATAGAAATGACAAGCAAAGCCTCCTCGTCAGATTTTTTTGAAGACAAACCAAAGGAATCATTTACAAGGTTAATCATTAAGCAAATTTTATTAGCCCTTGCCTTAGTTATTGGTATTGGTATTCTTTCTTTTATTAATGAAAGAATAATACTGTATTGGTGAGGATTAATTTTTTTTTAACATAAATCATTTTTAATTAATTTCAATCCTGTTCAGATTAATTGTAAATTGATACAAAAACTTTTGATATATTTTGGGATGTTTGTGACAGCATTTTGTGTGAGAATGGTTTTAGAATTTACTGTGTAGCTGTGATATATTTTCCATATATTTTTATTTTGCATTTAATACTTAAGTATATTTATAAAAGTAAAGTTTCTCACAATTATCATATTATATATACTTATTGTTTAAAATTTGGATACTAACAAATACAAAGTTGAATGAAAGAATAGATTTTAATTTTAAAATTTTACTGTTGTTGTAATAAAATATTTTCAAAGAAGTGTAATCATCTCTTAATAATGATAAAATTTTGAAATTTCAACAATATTTGAGTCGTTCACAGGCCAAATTGATTAACTCCATTTGTAAATCCTTAATATAATCCTTATTATTTTTACATTTTTCATGTAACTAATTTTATATATTACACTAAAGTTATGCTTTAATATAATGGTATATGAAGATACATTCTATAATGTTTATTTAAATTTAAAGTTTAAAAGAAATTTTAAAAAATAATTTATCAATTTTTATACTTTTTGTTTTATGGAGTTAATCAATTTGGCAAGTGAGTGGCTCATTTAACAAGAATTTTTTTTTTTTGGAAAATAATTATTATAAGGTTATTCTGCTATATTTAAGACCAAATTTTGCCAATTTTTAATGCTGCTTTTTTATTTCAAATATTACATCCATCAGATTGTCGTTTAATGTAAGTAAGTAATGTTTGTTTGTTCGTAATAGGATATACTTGTTACAAAAGGATTGCCATTTAAGCACACAAACATCAGCAAGATTACCAGAAAATAAAAATGCTTAGAAATAAAACGTCCAACTAAGAAATATGCAGTTTGACTTTTATGTAAAGGCTTGATTTCTCCAAAATTTAAAAAAAGGAAAAGATTAAAGGAGCATCATTAGAAAATCAATGTTGTATTTGATTATTTTAAAAGGATAAATTATAGTAAAATCAAGCTTATTCAGTTTCTTATTAATTGCTTCAAAAACACATAAGAAGAGTGATTGGTATATCATTGAATATCTAATAATTAGAATAAGTCTAAATTTTAAAAATTTTATCATAAATAAACATTGGATGAAATAATTTTTAATGAAATATCAAAAATGCACAGAAATCACTGTTGTTATCTGAAGTGATTTTCATTATAAAGAATTGAAGCACTTTTCTTTTATTTCTGCAAATTAAATTAATTTGTTTAATGTCTTAATTTTACATGCAATATTATTTTTTAATGACTAAAGTACCCAAACAGCAATCGTCATTAAAATTCAATGAACACAAATTCCCATGCCCAGAGCAGTATTCAAAGTTTTGAATTCAAACTGTAAACGATGTCTTAACATATTCTTTCTTATACCAGATTAAATATAATAATAAAAATTGGCAATATGAAATGAATTAAATATAAATCATTAAACTGTTGATAAATGCAAAAAAAAAAAATAGAAATGACCTAAGTTATCATTTTAACTATATCTTTTTGGATGATTGCACTTTTTTGAAATATATTAACTAGCAAAATGCTCAACTGACAACATTTGAATTTAATTAGCAAAGATTTTTGGTAATTAAAGATTCTTGTTATGTGCTCATGCTTGAAGTACATAATTTCTTAAATTATTTTAGGAATACATTTAATTACTTCAAATGAAAGTAATTCTCATCATGTATATATTGTATATGATAATCTGTAAAAACAAGTGAAATTATTTTTTTAATGTTAAGTTGATGCATCAACCATATTTAATTTTTTTCATCTTTTGTTAATTGGAATAGTTTTATGACAAAATACTTGACATTTTTTACTATCAGACTTACAAAAGATAATTTATTTATTTAAATTACAGCCACAAGTTAAATTGTGTCATATTAATCCTATGTCCAACATCAAGTTTTATTTGATTAAAAACCTACTACTGTGAGGTAGGAATAAGGACTTATCACACCAGTGATAATAAGCACAAACACTCAAAATATCAATGGGATACATTTAATAAAACGAGAATGGGTGTACATTACAAACTATTAAATTAATAATTGACATGAAATAACCAAAATGCATTTCGGACTATCGGAATAGTCCCTCTTCAGTTGGTATACATATAAAAAAAGGTGAGATACTTAGAATTATACAAGACAAAGAAACCGTTATAAAACGTTCTTGTATAATTCTAAGTATCTCACCTTTTTTTATATGTATACCAATTGAAGAGGGACTATTCCGATAGTCCGAAATGCATTTTGGTTATTTCATGTCAATTATTAATTTAATAGTTTGTAATGTACACCCATTCTCGTTTTATTAAATGTATCCCATTGATATTTTGAGTGTTTGTGCTTATTATCACTGGTGTGATAAGTCCTTATTCCTACCTCACAGTAGTAGGTTTTTAATCAATTTGTTTAAATCAAGGGCTAAAAGCAATTTCCTTTATATCAAGTTTTATACTTACAATTATAAGAAGATTGCTAAGTTCTAAATCTTTTACAAATGTAAAATTATGGTAGAAAAGTTTTTCTCTGTGCCCAATAAAGACCAATTTTGTCATAAAACTATATAAATTCGAAAAGGGTTTTGGAAAATTTTGTAAACACAAACATCCTTGTACAAAAGATATAATACAGTAGAGCATCGATTATCCGAATATCGATCAACCGAAATGTCAATTAACGGAAAGCTTTCCAGTCAGCAAATTTAAATTTTTGCTAGTGCTGTGGCGCTGCAATATTTGGCTATGTCTTGGGCTACTCCAATATTTTTGTTGGTGTGTGTTTTAGCTGGCAGCACTGGCGCGACCATGAAAGGGTACTTAAGGACGTGCCAGGATTTGAATGAATTTCAACATGGGATAGGTTAATATATTTTTTGTACACAATCGGTTATCCGAAAAAATCTATTCAAACAATCCCGGTCCACAATTGATTCGGATAATCGATGCTCTACTGTAATTTGAACGTGCCATATTTTAAAAAATACGTTCCTAAATCTCTAAACCAAAGTGCCTTATTTTGAAACTTAAACCTTGTTTATTTATTAATCTAAAACCATAAATGCTCACTTCTCTCATCAGGAAAGTTTGAAAAAATTTGTAAATTCGCTTAAGTGCCAGAATACAAAAAATTTTTTACAACAAAATTTTTCCTGGAGAGTTTTTAAACCGAATGTCTTTACATTTATAGCATAAATTCCTTATGTTTGAGATAAATATTAAAAGTATTCAGCTACATAATAAAGTATATAATCCGCCATCCGATTGTAAAAAATATCATTTTATAAAGTCATTGCATAAATGTTCTCATTCTACATTAAAGGTTTTGAAACTATCATCGATTTTACACGATTAAGTTTCACGTGTAATATTTTAAAACCGAATTCTTTTAATGTTAAAAAAATCGCTAAGTTTATATCTCACTGCGTGTTTAAATATAATTCATATACAGTATAAATGTATATAGTAGCAGATTTGTAAAAGCTATATCGTCTCTCATCTTGTAAAATTATGTTGAAAATTACGGCGATTTGCATTTAGGTATATCGAAATTTCTCTTAAAGGAGGGAATGTTTTCGATGCTGATTTTGCCAAATAAAAATAATCGTCTGATTTTACAAAGCGAAATTGTGACGACGAAATGCTTTTTTATCAACTTTGCAATCTCTTATTTTGTCATTTGCGAAATTTCTGATATAATTTTTAATGTAATCTATTGACCAGTTGTACTGTATGTCATAACATGTCAGTTTAAATTGTAACCTCTATAAGCCGATCGTAATGTCCAAACTTTATATTTCTAATGCTCATGTATATGTTGATTTCTTATCGACATATACTTTGTGTTTGAATACAATATAAAAATACTATGGATCATTACAGAAATAGGAGAGAGCGATATTTTTTTACGACTGCTGTTGTATGTAATTTAATGCGTTATTATCCATATATTACCTTATTTTTGTACCCTGTATAATAATGCAAAGTGCAAATTTCCGCATTAGTTTTTATACGGATGGATATTGTATGAATTCGTTTAATTAACAAAACTATATGTATATCTAGTATATTGTAGAAAGAATGTATCCGCAACCCGTTATTTTATGCCATCCATCGCATAATAAATTCGACGAGTTTTTATAAATAAAAGTACAAAAGTTATTTTACATCTATTTGATTTTTCTCTTTATTCGAGTGAAGTCGAGCTCTCTTCGCTACCGTGTTTCCATTCTGATCGTGTAACCTGTGAATCGGAGTTACCCGACAGTCACCACCATCACCGTGATTTCTTCTTTACCCAGTCTCCTCACTCAAAAATTTCCTTTAATCTTAGCTTCCATTTCTCTCTATTCATTACATCCTTACCTCCTAGTCCTCTCGTGTTCACGCTCTCCAGAATCTTTCTCCATCTTATCCTTTGTCGACTTTTCTGCTCCTGCGTTTGGTTTCCAATTCATGATCACCTTCGGTGTTTCCTCTTCTGTATGATTCTATGATTTATATTACATTACGAGTAGTGTAATATAAATCGTAAACAATCATGAACTCAGACTGCTCCCTTTTCTTGGAAATTATAGGGGAACACGCAGGCCCGCCGTAAGCGGGCGTGCACCGCACGCGAGCGGCACATCCAGGGAGCGGCAAATCGAGAATCAGTCACGAATTATTCAGTCATTGTCATAATACCCACCCTACTTATAGCATAAGAAATGTCTTCGCATGGAGAAAAAAAAATTGACCGGAGCGCAATTACTATATTCTTATTTATATTATAGCTTAACAGTGTTTCTATTGGCATTTATCAGAATTAAGATGCAATGCGAAATGTCTGTCAGCAGGTTGAACCATCCGGCGGTGCCCGAAAGGCCAAGTACCCATAGTCGTGCTCTATGACAGAAGTTGACAGGACTGGCGAAAATAGGGAATTCCCACAGAGCTTCCTTCTCAATTTGTACTTGTACGCATTTCAACAGTTCTATCGCATATCAAATTGCAATTATTTTGTTAATAATTCTTCTGACATGGGTCTAAGTATAATTAATGATATTTTAACTTGGTTAGGATTTAAATCTGAAACTTAAAGACGATTCAAGTAGTGAAACAGACATTGACGGTATTGATTTGTATGATTGAAATCTGTACTTTAGACTGGTTTTCTGGAAAATGCAACTTTAATGATCCTCAAATCTTATTACATTATCTTTTTACTAATGACTTGATATCAACATTTCCTAACACAGCAATAGCACTAAGAATATTATTTACATTGCCGGTTTCAGTTGCATTTGGTGAAAGGTCCTTTTCAAAGTTAAAAATTATAAAATACTATTTAAGATCAACAATGTACCCGCAAAGACTAAGTAATTTAGCTATAGTTTCAAGTGAGCACGAAATCTTAGACAGCTTGGATACAAAAAAAATTGATAGCAGGTTTTGCAAACATAAAGGCAAGAAGAGTTCAATTTTTGTAGATAGATATTTATATGGTTTTACACTTAAGTAAACAAAAATAACTTAGTAATAATAAATAGTTTTTCTCTATAAAGTATTTCTTTTCTTTTTTCACACACTTATGAGACAACACTAAAGAGCCTTTCTGGCAACCTCGGCGTAGGTAGTCATAGTTAAACAGGGGGCGGCATAATCGGTATTGCACACGGGCGTTAAAACAGCTAGCGGCGCCCCTGGGAACACGACAAGAGATTAATTGGATTTTTTGTCACTTGTATATGCACATTTTTATGATAATATCTACAAGAATGTGAAACGGTTCGGAGGATGTTCATTTTGCACCGAAGTCATCTCGTTCTTCACGCATCATCATCAGTTGTATATTAGGACAATTCAGAGTGTAAGATAATACACAAATCAAATTCCTTTGATCTAAACGCATCTAGTAAACATCCGTCTGATCTTTGTTCTCCAGGAAAAGAACTATTAAATAAGCTTGAAATGTTACTAGTGTAGATTTTCCTCTGAAAATCAATTATATATAAATTAGATACGAATAATTAATTTAATCTTTTTATTGGTCGAGATTAAAAGAAATCTCGATCAATTTAAAATAACTGACGAAAGGACATTACATCATAATCTCCAACAGGTCAAGATGAAATAAAATTTCGTGCGTAGAGCGCCTTTATAGAATAGGTTCAATACCCTACCACCGTTCTTTTCCTCCTGTTCTACACGATTATAATTAAGGGTTGATAGGATCCTTGAGTTTACCATTATGTAAACTTTCGTAGTTTTGTTATTTGAAATTACATTTTGGAAATTTCCAATACACTCGGAGTGTCATATACAATGTGTATATATTCTTTTTCTTCCAGGTCGAAGACGTAGCCTGACGTTGCCGGGGTCGGTCCTTGAAGCCTTTTCGGGAAGAGGTAGAGTGAGTGACGAATTTCCGGACCGGAAGTCGTCGGTTGACCGCAGTCGAATATCGACGAAGTTGTTTTGTACCGTGTTGTTTTTTTTATTGCTGTTGTGGATTTGTAAAGTCTTTTTTATAAATAAAAATGGCGAGGACCGTCGTTGCCTCTTCCCGAAAAGGCTTTCTATTTGTTTTGTCTTCACGATGCTTTTTTAAATTGGAACGAAATGTCCGGCTCGCGTCGACCCGTTCGAACTCACCCTCTCGGTATATATGTGACGTCATTTCCTAGAATTGGCGTATTTTAGGAAGTGACGTATGCCTGTACAATCATCGGAAGAAAAAGGGATTATTATTCTTTCTCTTTTTCTCTCAGACACTACGCCAGTTACATTTCTTGGCAAATTCGAAACACGTTTCCGTGTCTTCCATTTTTATTCTAATTTTTGCTATTCGTTCAAAACCTTAAATTAATCCATATTCTTAAATTTGTACTGTATAAGGGGGAGCTCTGCAATCTACAGTATGAATAAAATGATAATTATATTCATTATTGAAGACAAAAATTAGTTTCGAAATACAAAATTCAATGCTTAATTAATGTGTAGAAGTATATTTCGAAAACCGAATCGTTAGTCATGACGTACAGTACTTGATAATGATATCTTTTCCATTTATATTTAATTTTACATGACACGTGTTTAAGGAAATCGAGCGCGCGTACTGAGTTAATGATATTCATTTGATTGGATAAAGTATGTTAGTATGTGCTAATTTACCTCTATCATTTCGAAATTAACAATGTGCTAATGGTATTGTTAAGCAATTAAAGCGAATAACGAGTGTTTACTGAAATCTGTAACAAATAATTATATTTGAATGTTTTTCAGTAACAATACAAGTGCTGGAGAATGCCAAGACATCGTTCTTCTGTTTACAAATGGGAAAATGTTTTAATTCAAAGCAGCCCGAGATATGCTTTGAATTAAAACGATTGATGACAAGTTATACATATGTCAAATCAATATGTTGCCAACTAAGAAGGGACATGTAGTCCCATTCGGCAGCTCTTGGTCTCCGAATAACGTCACTTCCCGTCATGTTTTGTTGGCCAATAAAGTATCTTAAGTGCGTTTCCATTGAATAGAACGGTTTTCTAGTAGTCTATTTCCAAGCCTCAAATCAACACTAAAAATTGTTTGAAATACCCGTTTAGGCGGGGTAAGCCAAAAAGTCCCTTGTACTTTTCCATTTAAGAAGTACTGAAGAAATGTGTTAGTTAATATAGTTTACACGGGAAGTCATATATGGAGAGTAGAACGAGACTTGTAACTAATGAGTAAAGTAAAATTTCCTATGACAGTTGAGGAACACCATTTAATTAGTTTAAAACCTTTTTCTGCATTTAAATAAATACATTAGGATTGCATAATTTGCAACATTAAATTTATGAGTAAAAGTGATTTCGTTTCATGACTTCCTGATCACGTAAAGCTAGGATACTTTTTTGTTATTTTTTTTTCTTTTTACTCTTTCCGCCCTGTGAGCGCTAAGAGGGCCTCTTTTTGCAAGCCCATTATGGGTTCGGCCAGACCCACAATGAGGCTGCCGGGTGGTAGGGGACGAGCCCGACATATTCGAACGGACCACCCCTCGAAAAATTCCTGGGGATTTTTCGACCCCTACGGATTCGAACCCCAGGGCGGTGGGCTGCCACCTTTGACTGCTCAGCCATCCGGTCGCCGAGCTAGGATACTACTAGCAAGTACTTGGCTTCACTGAAATTGTGAGCAGACACGAGATGATGGATAATGTAACACAATAGATATAATAATACACTCAAATTAGACAACCGAATGAGGGAGAAGATAGAGGCATTAGCCAGTTGCACTGGGGAATCCAGTTAGAGTCTTGATCGGGTTCGGAAATTGTCATAGGCAGGTTGATGTGTGTTTCAAGCTCGTCTTTCACTCTGAAATGAGTAGTATTGAATTAATATTTTTTTGTGGAATAGACTGAAGAGAAGTGCGTGTGTATATATGCACTTCTCTTCAGTCTATTCCACAAAAAAATATTAATTCAATACTACTAATAAGTGTGTGTATATGTATATATACACACGCTTAAATGCATTTCAGAAAGTACACAATGTGCAGGAAGTAGCTCTATCTCGAGAGAAACTACAGGGTGTCCACAAAGTCTGGGTACATAAGGATTAACACATACTTTTAAAACAAAATAATTTTATTTGATTCTAATATTAATAAATAACATTTTCAATATGATTTCCATCATTTTCAATACATAATTTGATGTGCCGTAATTTGTGGACACCATTACCAGTCAGTGCTTAAATCGACGTACAATACAGACCTATTTAATCGAGTTCACCTGAATTTTGCAAGGTGCATCAAATTATGTATTGAAAATGATGGAAATTATATTGAAAATGTTATTTATTAATATTAGAATCAAATAAAATCATTTTGTTTTAAAAGTATGTGTTAATCCTTATGTATCCAGACTTTGTGTACCCCGAAATACAGTAGAGCGTCGTTTATCCGAAAGAATTCCAGTTGGCAAATTTAAATTTTCGCTAGTGCTGTGGCGCTGCAATCTTTGGCTATGTCTTGGGCTACTCAAATATTTTACGTTTTTGATACTAAATTAACTTCTGAAGTATAATTATTTATTGTTTTTATATTTTTCAATATATTTATTTTGTTCGTACAAAATAAAGAAATAATTTTTAACGATACAATAGCCACGATTATTATTTTAAAAGGTCACGTTAGGCTTAACATCAACGAAAATTCAACGCAAAGCGACACGCAACGGAGAAAAATTTCAGGATGGGATAGGTTGTTATATTTTTTCGTGCCGAGACAAATTTTTCGCGAAACAAATCGACGAAAACTGAAACTGGCGATAACCGAAGTCAACAAAAATCAAGGTATTACTATAGTTCTAAGTTGTTCCCTCTGATGTTTGTGGTGTTGGAAGTCTCGTTTACGGCTTGTGTTACATATCGCAATCTACATGATCAATATGCTAAATATATTATAATTGCACTGTACATTATACAGTGAAACCTCTATTAGGGATTGCAAGTTTCCTGGCCATTTTATTACAGATAATTATGACGGAAATTCCCGATTTCCCGTGGGCCGTTTCTTAAATGTAACGATAGCGAAGATTAAGATTATTAGATTATCTTACCTGTTTCCACCAGGTGCAAGGATTAGGTCCCCCCTATTCCGAGGCTAATTAGAGAATTTTTACTAGTTAAAAATATGTTCGATTTCCTGCAAAAACGCAAAAAAAAAGCTGCACCTAAAATAGTACAGTAGAAGCCGAGTTCTTCAGGGTAATACTTAACTCGTTCCCTCTCCCCCGCGGTAGAAAATTTTTAAAACTCCTTTCATAGTGTGCATTCGCATGGCGTACCCTAACTGTGTACCGAATTTCAGTTTTCAACTCTTAACCGTTTGGGCTATGCGCTCATTATTATTATTACGAGGGCGGTTTTTTCGAAGCTCCAATGGTCCATAAAACAAAGACAAGTGTAAATGACAAAATGAATTTATTACCAAAAGTTAGGTACAAACACGGTTACTTTTCGACATAATTACCATAAATATTGAGGAATTTGTCATATCTGTGGACGAGCTTTTCCATCCCTTTATTGTTAAGGCCATCTCATATCACTGCCAGTGATATGAGATGGCCTTAACAACATTGTTTAGAAGATCGTCATTAGTTCATTAGTCTCAAACATCTGCCCTGCTAGCCACGTTTTTTTCAGTTCAGGAAAGAGGTGGAAGTCTTCACACATTAAAAAGTTTTAAGCTGGGTGGAAGTCTTCACACATTAAAAAGTTTTAAGCTGGGTGGAAGTCTTCACCACCTTTAAACACCCAGCGTATAGCTCCGATTTTAGCGCCGAGCGACTTCCACCTCTTTCCTGAACAGGAAAAGTGGCTCGGAGGGCAGAGGTTCGAAACTAATGATGATCTTTAAAACAACGTTAGAGCCCATCTCAAGTCATTGGCAGTAACATTTTATGACAAGGGGATGGAAAAGTTCGTCCACAGATATGACAAAAAATGCCTTAATCTTCACGGTGATTATGTCGAAAAGTAACCATGTGTGTACCTAACTTTTGATGATAATTAATTTTGTTATTTACACTTGTCTTTGTTTTATGGACCATCGGAGCTTGAAAAAAACAGCCAACGTAGTTACATCAACCGATCTCGATTATATTACAGTGGAACCTCGCTTAACGAGCATAATTCGTTCCAGAATTTTACTCATAATGCGAAACACTCGTTAAACGAAACAATTTTTCTCATATAAATTAATGTAAAATACGATAATGCGTTCCATGCCGAAAAAAAATACTCAAATATTTTTTGTATAACGTTTATTTAAAGAAAATTATACAATATACATTGTTAAGGAGCGTGAATCATCATTTTTTTTCTAGCATAGAATGAACCAACCTGGAATGTGAATTCGATTTGTAGAAAAAAAAATCACAGATAATATGCCTGATAAAGACGCCAAACGATATGCCAAATTCGTGGGCTTTGTAAGAGCTATAATTAAATATTAGAAATTAATTAATTTGAGTAGAGATAGGCCGCTATGCTGCCATCTCGTATTAAATTTAATAATTATAAATAATTAATTTTTAATTTAGGCATTTCTAAAATTTAATTTGAAATTGGTCATTTAATACGAGATGGCAGCATAACTGCTTACCTCTAGCAGAGTCGGTAGATTAACTGGTCTTTCGACTAATAGTTCAAACTTAGCTAGAGACAATATTTGCCGCTAGTTGGCGCCACTGTTGGCAGAAGAGCGTTGTTCTTGCTATGTATATACTGAAGTGAGTGATTTCGTCCTATAATAATTGCTTTTTTAGCTACATAAAAATTCTAATGTGCTTTGTGCCAGGATGCAAGGCAGGATATAAGTCATCGAACGAGAAGAGACATTTCTTCCGTGCTCCTAGCGATAAGATTGAGGAGTGGATGCGATTCATTCCACGAGACGACAAGATGCTAACAAATAAATGTTACGTTTGTGATGTACATTTTGCGAGTAGATTTTTTTTTAAACCTACTCCCATGTTATAAATGGAGAGAAAGTAGAAATTCCACGAGATCGCTGGGCATTAACGTCAGATGC